TCGCAAGCGCAGTCAAAGCCTAGAGCGGGGTCCAAGCCACGAGTCCAAGGACTACCTGAAGACCCCGAGACGGCAACGAAGTCGCAGCTTAAGCACCGAGCGGATCGCTCATCGCGTGGCAGAAAAGCTTAGCAACGATCCTCGCGACGGCACCCGACAGCGTCGACGGGCAGAGAGAAGTAAGTTCGACGACAGTGAGGAGGCAGATCTCAAGTCTTCACGGCATCGAGGACACGACGACATGATCAGTCCCGAGTCCAGCCTCCTCAGCGCCTCGGCCGTCTCCTCGCATCGCCGATCCGGTGACCAGTACTCCTTCCGGTCCGGGACCTCCAAATCGTCCATCAACAACCCGAAACTACTTGAAACCGTCGAAGACGCGATTCGGAGGTTGATCCTCCCCGAACTGAAAGAGCTGAAGAAAGATCAAAAAGTCATGTCGAATACCTCCAAGTTCGACCGGGACATGAACGCCTCGCACTCGTCCGCCAGTACACCCTCACGGGATGGACTCGGAAGGCGACTGTCAAAACATGCAAGTGCGCCTGACGTTCGAAAACCGAAAGTTGTTCTCAACAAGGATAGTCGTGACGAGGGAATCACTATCTCGGGAGATTCGGTCCCCTCTCGGGCCGAGCGACGATCGAGTAAGGGTAGCGAGAAGTCTCCAGATATTGGCTACATCAAATGGGCCAATCGACCAGAGTTGACTGAGCAAGAAAAGCTGCGGCGCCAGCGAAGCAAAGGGCTGCGCGAGGCAGAAAAAGCGGGCATCGTCGGTAGCGCCCTAACAGCGGCGGCTCTGCAACATCACGATTCGCGGTCGAGCTTGGCTAGTAGCGAAGGAGGACGCAGAAGCAGCGGCCCCCACAGCCCGATAGGAGGCATCAACGAAACTGAACTGGTCTTCCAGAGACACAACGTTGCTCCTATGCCGTTACGCAGTGCAATCGAGTCAGATCTGACAAGGGCTTCGCTGCTCTCAGAGCAGTCTGCCGATCCCTACCCTTACGAGGAGTCTAAAGAGCACGACCTTTCGCGTGGGTCGTTTTATCAGACCATGTCCCCAACTCCACGCTCCCCGGGTCAGGCTTCTGTGGGCTCGCAGCATGATTTGAAACTCAAGCACAGCAACCTATCTAGCCATAACTTGTCTCTGCGCAGCGTCTCGAGTCATTCGTCCGTCGGAGGTGCTTCGGCCGGAGCTATTGCGGCGGCGGCTGCAGCCAACTTGCTTGATGTACATTCAGGGCATCATGACACCGATTATAGTGACCTTACAAGCCGACGACGGACACTTAGCCCAATTCAAAGCGTGGCGAGCAACATTAGCCAGTCTCCGATGAAGCAGAACTCGACTTCTTATGATCACCACGACTTTTCGGACGATGAAAAGAGGCTGGAGCCACGTTTGTCGATTGACTCGCTCTCGTCTGCTCCCAGCACCAACCTCGCAAGGTCAACCCGCCCGGAGGGACTCAGCATCAATAGCCAGACCGAATCCCTTAGAAACCAATACGACCCTGGACACGAGCTGGGCTACGAGGAAACGCCTAGAGCATCGCCACGAGGCAGTCGCTGGGTTGAACATTCAGATGGAGAAGACGACGGCGATGATTATGCCCACTCGACTGCGAGCACGGAGCGTAACAGAATGCCTGGGCACAACGAGGACAGCGAAGTTACTTTCATGGACCACGCGAAGCAAGGCCAACCTGTCGCTGAAGGCGTCGCTGCCAATCCTCGCTTTGTCCATCCCCTCGCCGTAGAGTCGGCAGTTGCCTCGCTATTGGATCCCACTATTCTGGACACCAAGTCCAGCCAGTCTGCTGCTAATCGCTCCATGCACGACATTCCTGAACAAGCAGAGAGCGACCTGGATGAGGCGATGGAGAAATCGGAGGAGACTCCTCATGCTTCTCGTCAAGGAAGTCCCCTCAAGCAAGGCCACACTGTGTCCAGTCCTGATGCTACATCATTTCCGAGGCGTATGGGTGCCACTTCGCCTCCGCAGAGTGTCACCCAGTCGTACGAAGACCTGACAGATCCGACTCATATGTTCGCCGGAATCCGTGACCAGAGCCCCCTTCCCGAGGAAGACCCACTTCCAGATACTGAATCGGAAATCAATACCAACCCTTCCATCATCCAAGGACCGGCGGCTCAAGAAGCTAGTTGGTCGTTCAATCAGACGCCTTCCAAAGATGCTCCGTCCCCTCTCTTCGATAAGGGTGGCGCCGTTGCTGGTGCGGCTGCTGGTGCGGGTCTGGGTTTGGGGTCGGTCGACCACGCGCAATACGACCAGGAATATTACCCTGAGGACGAATATGCAGCGAATGACTACTACGACCAACAATATTCGCGGCAATTGTATGGGACTCCCCTTGGAGCTAAAGACGAGGGCTATGTCTCGGCTGCCAATCCCCGTTCTCCAAGCGTTGATACGCCTGAACCACTTAAAAAGGGGATGGGAGGGATTGATGCCAACATGGGTATGTTCGACAGTCCCTTGGGAGCTGATGATTTCATACCCGGCCATCAGCGACAGCTGAGTGGGTACTCCCATGGGGTTGGATCTCCGCTATATGACAGTGCCACCGGCAAAGGCATTGACCGTATTCAGTCCAAGGATATCGTCGCACTCATGGACCATGTAAGTCCCAGTTCCCTTTCACCAATACTCAGAAACCTCTGCTGACACTGTCTAAGCTTACTGTTCGCGATGCGCAACGAAACGCAAGAGATACGGAGATTCTGGTGACGCTGGTCCGAAGCGCGGCCGAGATGCGCAACTCGTTCGAGGAGATGAAGAAGTTCATCGCTCAGCAAGATGGAATGCTCATGGAGGCCAGCGACAGACAGCACGAGCGTACATATCGGGCTGTTGGGGGGCCACGTCCACTGCCGGTCAGTGCGCGGAGCGCTCGTCAAATGTCTATGGACGACGGCGAGGAACTGAGCCAGAAGCGGAAGAACATCTTCAAACGGGCGCTTAAGGGCCTGAGTATGAAAAACTCGAATGATCTGACCAAGATCGAGGATATGTTGGAGCAGTTGCTGGAGGAGGTTGAGGCTCTCCGTCAAAACCAGGATCACGGGTTTGCGCGTAACGGTAACCGGGCTGCCAGCGTGGATCCAGAAGGCTATGAGCCAGAAGGTCATGCGGGAACTTCCTCTCCTGGGAACCCCTCTGAATACCTTTCGACGTCATCACAGCTCGTCCAGGATCCCAATCAGTTCCGGAAAGGCCTCGAGAACCGTGTGAGCACGGTCCAAGAGGTTGATGAGGATTTGGAGGACGACCGCGGAGAGTTCCTGAGCCCTCACCTGGTGTCTCAGCCAAACTCTAACAACCGACAGGACCGAGCTGGCTCGGCTCCTGTCTCGACACCCCCTCGGGAGGCGATGGCTTCGGGGGCTCTGAGCACTGACACCACTCCGAAGACTACCGAGAAGGCAAAGAAGCACAAATCCAGCAGCTCTTCGTTCTTCCCCAAAATCTCACGTTGGTCGAAGACCACCGCCTCGTCGATGGGTGACAACATCCGTAACAGCATTCAACCGAATCGCAAGGAGCGGGCGTCTTTCGATGCTTCGCGCTCCGGGTCCGACCTTGCACAGGGGCCATATCAAACGACGAACTATTATGATCCTCAGGGCGAAGATCGACTGCGCTCCACTTACACCTTAGATGACCAGCAACATGAGAACCGACCTCCGTCGCCGTTGGTGCCATCTCAGGTGTCTGAAACGCCCAAATATCGGGCTCACCGCGGTAGCCTCGATCTGCACCATCCCCAACCCCGCCAGGGACCCACCGGACGGTACCAATCGCAGCTGGAAACGCAGGCTCAGGTCTACACCGCACCGTCCGACCAGTGGGGATCGAATCCCAGCCTGTCGGGTGTGAATGCCAACCCGCGCTACAGTGGTGGTGGCCGGCTATCTCCCATCTCGGACGCAGGCTATTCAGAAGCAAGTTCTCGCCAGACGGGACCTCCACGCCCCCCGAAGATCAAAGACGAAGGGCCCCTGATCCCGGAGAGGCCCCCGAAGATCAAGGATGATGACGAGCGATCGTATATGGATCGTGTTGTTTCACGGGTTAGTGTGCATTCCTGGAAGGGACGGCTGAGACGAGCCATGCTGACGAGATTTCTGTAGAGTTCTGCTGTTCAATCCCCACGCAGCACGCCGCCGCCGCGCAAACCGACGGGGCCTCGTCCCCTCAACTCGGGCAGTCACCACAGCCCGGCCCGACGGAAGCGAAGCCAGTATCGAGCGGCCAGTCCGGAGCAGGTTGATGCCGAGCTTGACTAGACGTTTCTGATTTCAGTTGATACCCTTTCTTTTTATTGTTTTGTTGAATGCGGACCGTTTACGACATAATGACATGACTAGTTGCACCATGTGCTATGACCCGCGTCTTGCATTTGTGCGAGCGTGATTTTTCTTTTTGTGTGGGTGGACGAGGTTGCGCCTGTGAATTTTGTTATACCATGTATCCCTTGCTGCTGTCGTATAGTGATGCGCTACATATTGAGTTGATTTGATGCACTGGGTGACTGGGGTGTAAACTTGTAGATGGTTCTACCCACGAGTTGATACTTGTTAGTATGTAGTTAGTATACGTATACAAGGTCATAAGGGCATAAGCAGCGGCCTTATGCATAGTGAGTATACTCCGTAGCTATCCATGATTGCCCCTAGCTTATCGGCTTGTGGTTGCTGGCATGAGAGGGGCACAGTATGAGAAGAATGGGGGGCGTGATAAGTGGGGGTTGCATAGCTGTCCTGTTTGTCAGTCAATTTACTACCTGCTAGTAAGTTAGTCATGATGACATGGGGACTCCAACCGCCATGGCCCTGCCATGGATCTGAGCTCTATCGTGTTTGATGGCCCATGAACCACGGAAAGGTTCCTTATGCGGGGTAGTCAACACGAAGTATAAGACCCAAGACGCCCCCCCCCCCCCCCCCTCACCAGGAATTTGACCATCTGCTCCTCACCTCTCGTCCTGTCCTCAACCTCTTTGCATGATAGCTTCAACTTGTATTTCCAATCCACCATGCCAGTCTCACAATCATCATCGTCATCATCCCTCGACCTCATCATCTGCGCAACATGCGGCACGCAATTCCCGACCACCTCCCCCCCACCCAACTGCAAGATCTGCGATGATCCCCGCCAATTCATCCCTCCCACGGGGTACGTATCGCCACTCCAAGCACGGAGTCCCATCCGTATAGCAAGAACCCTTGAACACAAATTCCGTCCCTACCTCCCCTCCCCCTTCCCCAGCACATCATTCAGAAGACTAACCCGGGGCAAGCACAGACAATCATGGACCACCCTCCGCGCCCTCCGCCATCCCGACCAGACCCATGCCCAAAACCACGAAACGCACCCCTACCACAACGAATTCCACCCCCTCCTCCCCACAGATACCCCCGACGCAGACCTGAAAAAAGCAACCCTGATCTCAATCCACACCGTCCCCAAACTCGCCATCGGCCAGCGCGCCTTCCTCTGCCGCACCCCCCGCCACGGCAACATCCTGTGGGACTGCATCCCCTTCCTGGACGACGCGACGGTCGCCACCATCGCGGCGCTGGGCGGCCTGCGCGCCATCGTCATCTCGCACCCGCATTACTACGCCACGCACCTCGAGTGGGCCAGCGCGTTCGCGTGTCCGGTCTATCTGGCGCGCGAGGATGAGGAGTGGGTTGTGCGGCGGGGTGAGTCACAGGAACAGGTTTTCTGGGACGGGGCACGGTTGGATTTGTTGGAGGTGTTGGGGGAGCAGCTAGAGGGGCAACGGCAGCAGCAACAGCAACAGCAACAGCAACAGGACGGAAGTGGGGGTGACGGGGGTGACGGGGGTACTCTAGGCCAAGGTGCAGGTCAGGCCCAGGGGCAGGGCCAGGGCCAGGGGCAGGACAAGCTGGAGGTGATCAAGACCGGCGGCCATTTCCCGGGGAGCACGGTGCTGTGGTGGCGGGCGTGGCGCACGCTGCTCATTGCCGATACGATCGGGACGGTGCCGAGTGGGATCTATCATGTCGATCGGTTGCCGGGGACGGCGTCGTTTACGTTTCTGTGGTCGTATCCGAATATGGTTTGTCTCGTCTTGTGGTGTTCCTTTCTTTTGTTGAGGGGGTTGGTGGTTGAGTGCAGTGAGAGATGAGATATGCTGACTCGGACTTGACGGTAGATACCGCTGCCGCCGGATGAGGTGTTGAAGATCTGGAAGGCGATCGAGCACACCGACTTTGATTCGACGTATGGCGCGTTTGTGGGGATGCATACGCACGGGGACAGCAAGAAACGGGTCTTGGAGAGTGCTAAGATCTTCGTCAGGGCTATGGGGTATCTGGATCATGCCATTTACAAGGAAGTCTGTTTGTGACGGAGCTATATAAGGTATACACTGCGCGCGCGTTGCTTTTCCGTTATTGTACAGTACAATCATACCAGGTCCCTGTCAGTGCGGATGCATGAATGCTCTCTCGCACAGCACGAGAAGCCTGTATACTCTAAGGTACAGTTGAGTTAATGATACTTGCATCTTTGACCTGACAACACTCCACACACACACTACCTTAAACTTCGGTACAGGGCCTCACAGCAATCTGCAACCCAGGAGCAGTGGGCGAGTTGTTTTCTTCATCTTCTGCCAGCTCAGCACCAGGGCGCTGCGTCGCCGTAGCCAACCAGCTCAACTCCACCCCATCGCTGATGAGAAACTGGCCCGGATAACTGTCCACCGAGCACGCCGGCTGCAGCCGGTCCATCGTCTCCTCGACCAGGACGGGCTCGGCGCGGTGATGCGCTGGCACCTCAGTACTATCCGGCGCGACGACCGAGACCATCGACCACGGCTGGCTCAAGACGCTGAACCGCAATCGCTCCGTCATGAACCCGGAATAGCGGATGTGGGGCAGCACCATACTCTGGCGGCGCTCCGACCCCAGCGACAGACTCCTCCTGAGGGTGGCCGAGTAGATCGAGTCACTCATGCGCGGCGGGTAGACGACGTTCTGCTGCTGCATCCCAGTGATTGGATCTGCCGTCTTGCTGCCAACCACGGAGTGGCTAGTCACGGCGCTGTCTCCTCGACTACGCTTCACCGGACGGTTGGACGGCCGCAGGGAGAGGATGCTCGCCGTTGGCAGCGGCCGTTTCGGTCGGAGCGAGGAGCCGCTCACTCGCTCGGTGGCCGCGGGGGACGACGTCGCGAGACTCTGCATCACCTGCGCGTCGACGGTGGAGTGGCGCGGATGCGCTTCGGGGTCATCGGGGTGGGAGGGGTCGGCGGGCTCGAGGCCCAGGATGAGGGAGCTGAGGTGGATGATGCGACGCTCTTTGCGGCGGATGGACTGGCAGAGGCCGTTGCGGTGGCACAATTCGGACGACGGGTCGATGTCACGGAGGAAGGCCACGAACAGTAGCAGATTGAGCATCAGGATGGTGGCCGTGAGGTGGAGGGCGCGAGCGAGGCTGGCACCCGGGAGGAAGGGTTGGTCGCCGCGGCGGCGGACAGCAGCAGCAGCAGCAGCAGCAGAGGAGGAGGCCATTTTCGTGATGAACGATCGAGCAGGTGGGTTGGGGCTTGTAAATGTGGCAGTCGGGAGAGGGGGTGGTGAGATAAAAAAAGATAGTAAATGCTTCCATGGTGTGGTTTCGAGACTACTTTGTTTAGGGGAGGCAGGGCTGAGGAGTGGTGGTGGTGGGAGGAGTGAGGAGGATGTGCATGGGCTTTGCAGGAAGGAACCACCCTGTGGGCTGGTCCTTACATGCCGAGTTTCAATGGACATGATGAAGAAGAAGAAGAAGAAGAAGATGGATAATGAGTATCTGCATTGCAGAGGAAACACGAATCCAATATTGACCATGCAGTTCTTACTTCTGTATAGTTAGTAGGGATGTGTTACTACATTGTCTCCGCATTCCATCGACGATGACTTTCGTTATCTTATCGGCGGCTGCGGAGCCACTCGGACCCGCAAACGTCAGACTTTCTCCCCTCCTCTTCCTCCTCCTCCCTCTCTCCCTTTCTCCTTCTCCACTCTCTCCGTCTCCAAATCCTGAACTATCCTGGATTGACTCACAAGCTTGCCTGATTCAATGATCCTTTCTCCCTTCAAATCATTGCGTCTCTCCCATCGCTTCATGGCTACTCTCTCCTCAGCAGCAGCTCCGCAATCCCCCCTGCGTCAACGACGCTTCGCGCCCCTCAATGCGGAGAACTCGCGAGATTCCTCCGCACCCGCGCTGAGGGGCATCGTCTTCGATGTCGACGGCACATTATGGTGAGCTTTCAGATGATAAACCACATACTCTATTCCTCCTCTTCCTCCTCTCCCTCCTCTCTTTCAACCAACCCAAAGAATCTAACAATCCTCACAAAGCCTCCCCCAGAACTACATGTTCGCCGAGATGCGGTAAACCCAAACCCCCCCTTTCCCCGGCATACATCCCCGATCCCCAAATCCACCCATCCATCATCCTAAACCTCCAAACAGAGCCGTCCTCAGCATTGACCATAAAACCGACATCCTGCACCACATCGCCGGCCTCCCCACCGCCGCCGCCCAACTCGAAGCCGCCGACAAGATCAAGGCCATCGAACGCGAGGCCATGCGCCATCAGCAACCGCAACCGGGGCTGGTGGATCTGATGGATTACCTGGAGCAGCGGGGGATTCGACGGGCATTGTGTACGCGGAATTTTGAGTGCGCCCTCCGTCCTCCCTTTCTCGCCTTTTGCCTGGGAAGGGCTGCGGCCTGCTGACTACGGTGGGGATAATGAAATGAATAGGGCTCCCGTGACGAATCTCCTGCAGAATCATCTCCCGGCGCACGTCTTTCTCCCGATCATCACCCGCGAGACGCCGGGGTTGATGCCCAAGCCGGATCCGGCGGGGATTTTGCATATTGCCAGCGAGTGGGGGTTGGAGGATGGTGGGGAGGGGTTGATTATGGTGCGTTGGTTCTCGCCCTTTGCCTTGACGGGTGTGGGGGTCAAATTTGAGTCAGACGGACTGAATGTTCCGCTAATGCTGAATCCCGTGGACAGGTCGGCGATAGTCTCGATGATATGACGGCCGGGCATATGGCGGGGGCCGCGACCGTGCTCCTCCTCAACGACCACAATGCTCATTTGAAAGACCACGAGCATACCGATCTCTGCATTGAGCGCTTAGATGAGCTGGTTGACATCCTTGACCAAGGGTTCGTCGGCCACAGAGGTGGAAACAAAGTTCCCACGACCGATGCACCCACGGCCGCGGCATCGGCCCAATGATTTAGATCAATAGAGAAAAGACAATGGCTTTTTGTGGCATTTGTACATAATGCTCTGAAGAAAGGACCTGCCCTGGCTCCTTTCCGTCTCGAGGGAAGATACTAAGACAAACAGAGAAAAGAAAGTTAATCATCCCGGGGTATTTTACCAAGCACGCAAACATGCATCTATACCCGCAGCCACTCGTAGAGGGGGTATCAGTCGTGTCAACTCAACCAACCATTCACATCCTGCATCGATCCACGCCTTTTTACCAGCGACGCGACGGACGGTACGCATCTCCACCAGGCCCTCCTCCTCTCTTCCCACCCCGACCACCACCACGTCCTCCCCCGCCGCCTCTGGTCGGACGCGAGGGTGCGGGTGGCGGTCTCGCATTTCGACCTCCGGACGAGGGCTGGTAACTATCTCTGCCTCTTCCACCGCCGCCGCCGCCGCCGCCGCCGCCACGACCACCGCGACCCGGGCGGCCGTTCGGCGACAAGGACCGCTGTCGATAACCACCACCAGGCGGTGCAATATTCCTATTGTTCGCGCCGATGCCAGCTCCGAACCGAATATGTCCGCGATTGCTGTTGTTGTTGTTGTTGTTGTTGTTGTTGTTGTTGTTGTTATTGTTATTACTGCGGTTGACGGGCTGACGCAGCCGACTCATCATGTCGTCGCTGTCGGAGGACGGTGGGCGGTGCTGGTCGGCCCGACCGCGGATCTTCATGCCGCGGGGGCCCGGCGCTTGGCCGCCTCGGTTGCCGCCGCCGCGTCGGGAGTTATTGACCACGGAGTTGGTGTTTGTGATCATCCCCGGTTCAATGCCGTGGAGGGTCCAGGTGGATGAGAGAAGGGGTTTCTTGAGAGAGGGACAATCGCCGATGAGGTGGCGGTTGCTGCAGCACTTGGCGCAGGAGATCGAGACGAGGACGGGGCCGGACGTGGAGTCGTGTGGGTTGCTGAGCTTCCACATCATGTCGCAGTCGAGCTCGAGGTGGTCGGACGAGCCGCACAAATCGCATGGGGTCTCGGAGGCGGAGCCTTTCAGGGCGGAGAAGCAGGTGTCGTCGTCGTGGCCGCGCTCGCGACAGCGTTGGCAGCGGCGCCAGGTGGGGCATAGGCTGCTTTGGTGTTCGTTCCAGGCATTGCAATGGACGCACTGTCTCTGGTCAGCTAACTTTTGCAAGTGGGCGCTATGATCGGGGAAAGCAGGCATACCTCCTTCGAGGGACAGACTTCCGCCAGGTGGCCTTCTTGTAAGCACTCCGTACAGGCGATCGGGAGCTGGAGATCGATGGCGTTGATGTCCCGGTCGTAGAACCTGTACTTCGCCTGGAAGTCCATGTCCTCCCGGTGAAGATCGGCGAGGACGGAGGGAGCCGTCGGGTACCTCTGGGCATATCGGCGGTGTGCGTCTTCTTTCGACATCTTCGGGGAGTCGATGAGATCGTCCTGTGCGCCGCGTTTTCTGTAACCATTGGTGACCGGCTCGTACTCATCGTCGCCGTCTGGGGTCAGAATGCCATCCTGAGTCTGACCAAGATTCTGGCCGGGACCCCGCTCGCCGATATTCAAAAGGATCGAGTCGTCCGCCTCCGAGTCCAACGAGTCCGAATCATCCGAGTCCACCGATCCCTGCATCTGGCTCGATTCCGCCGAGCTCTCCGCCTCGTCTACCTCGCCCTCCTCCATCTCATCGTCGCGATCGGACTTGCTCGGTGCGGCATCGCCGCGGTCACTGGCCGAGGAAGTCGACGCGCTCCGGCTGCGCCAGAATTGGTCGTTGACCGCGTCGAACTTCGACGCAGCGGGCTTCGGCTGATTCCCCTCCGCTGCGTTGCGACTCCCGCGGAGTGACGTCCGAATCGCACTCTTGCTGCCCTTGTTCCAACTGACGGGCGGTGCTGCTGCCGCGCCGGCCTTGTCCCCTTCCTCTTCGGAGGAACTGGTGCCCACGGACTCGCTGTCGGAGCCGGAGGAAGACGTCTCGTCGTCGGGATCGACATCCAGCGAGTGGGCGCTGAAGGTGGCCCCCTGGGGCACGAAATCCTGGATCTTGCGATCGTCCGCGGCGCCGTTGCGTCGTTGCCGCTTGCGAGGGTTCGGGTTCGGGTCGTGGGAACTTTGCCGGGAGGAGCGAACGGAGGCGCCGTTCAGCTGTCCAACGGCGGCGGTCCGGGAGTCACCGTCATCGGACGGGGGAGCAGACATGCTGCGAGAAGGAAGGTATTGGCGGGGCGGAGGAGAGTTGGATTTGGAGGACGATGACTGGCGCAGAGTCGGAAGTGCTTTTGTGCAACGCGAAGACTAAACTTGAAACTTGAAAGTTGAAAGTTGAAGCATGATCGGGGAAATTTACGGAAGGCGGTGTGAGAGCCACTGCCTTACCCGATTGGGATGGTCCGACCGGGTGCCAGGCAAGAAAATGGCACATTATTATTAGTAGCAATGCTATTATCTTATTTTATTCTGGTGGTTACGTACCTCCGTATGCATTATTTGCTTCCCAGACTCTTAATTGGACTTATATGACTTGTAGTTTGCCCTGCAGCAGATCGATGAGCGTCTAGACTCTAGAACAATGCCTCTGCGTCGATTGCCGAGGAACTAATGGCTGGATTCTGGCGGACCGACCGTTCGGTCGGTTCGTTTGGCTTTATCTATTCTTAGTTGTCTGTGTCTCTGTCTGTCTGTCTGTTTGTGTCCGTCTCCTGGAGCCCCCCTCGGAGATCAGGGCATCTGTCATCTTCTCTCTTGTTTTCCCTTCTGCATCTCGGAAGGTATTCAGACCTTACTTGGGGTCCTTTTGCATCTTTTGCATCTTTTGCATCCATTACATTCAGGATCCCTTCCAGGTCCTTATCTGTTTCAGTTAATTGTATTATTACTGGCTGTAACCACTTAATTCTCCTGACAGTTGAGCTGGGGTAGCAGGAATAGAATACAGCCGGTACCGGGAATACGGTACCGGTGCTCCCGTGACCAGTCGGGGATCCTCACCAGATCTCGCCCGTCTCGCCGTCGCCTCTAATCGAAAGTCGAATTCGCATCGGCCTTCCCCCCATCCCATCCTGCTACCTGCTAAACCTACTACTTACTTACTCTTTATCTCTCTTTCTTACGTGCTTTTGTTGTCCACCTCGATCAATCTACCTCACCCTCTCCTTTCTTTTCCTCCCTTTTCCTTTCTCGATCTCTATCAATCCATCTTCCTCTTCCTCGACTCCTACTCCTCTAACCTGCAACTCTCTCTTTCCTCGTGCCAAGATTCCCACCTCTCCTCCTTTCCGACTATCCCCTCCTCCTGCTCTTGCGATAATACCGCCAAAGTGTCTTCTCTACTCGTTCCCCGTGCCATCTCCTTCCCTCCGGAAGTCGACACTGGCCGACATCGGCTGACTCCGGACTCCAATATGTCTTCAGGCAAGGCTGGGCGGAGGAGACGGTCGAGCAGTATCATTTATCAGGAGCCTCCCGAGTCCATCGAGCGGACCAGCGACCAGGCTGCCCTCCCCAATCTGAACGCAAATTGGGTCAATGCTAAGGGTGAGTTAGGACAGATGAAGGCGGGCGCGAATCCCAGCGGGCAGTCACGCACAGCATGAACGAGGTGGCTGACGGTCTGTACGACGACAATCTAGGTGCCTGGACCATTCACTTCGTCTTGATCGTGGCTCTGAAGATCCTCTTCGACATCATTCCTGGCGTCTCGCAAGAAACCTCCTGGACGCTCACCAACATCAGCTATATGTTCGGCTCTTTCCTCATGTTTCACTGGGTGCGGGGCATCCCTTTTGAGTTCAACGCCGGGGCGTACGACAACCTCAACATGTGGGAGCAGATTGACAACGGCGACCAATACACGCCGACCAAGAAGTTCCTGCTCTGCGTGCCCATCTGCCTTTTCCTTCTCAGCACGCATTACACCCACTACGACCTGACGTATTTCACCATCAACTTCCTTGCTACGTTGGGGGTGGTTATCCCGAAGTTGCCGTTTGTGAGTTGGGCCCCACCGTCTCAGGTGGCAGTATCGCAGTACTAACCCGTCTCTCTCTGCCAGTCGCACCGTTTGCGAATAGGTCTCTTCTCTGACATTCCCGAGGAGTAGTCGCTCGCTGCTCCGGCTCATCGAATTTCCTTATTTTAATCCAACTCACATGTTCTCATTTTCCAGACTTGTCCTCCTTCCTATCTTTTTTCTCCATTCTTGCTAATATTCTCCACTTGGCGTCTATGTTGTCTTTCCCCTGCGTCTCTCGCTGTCATCACCTTCATGTCCCCCTTTTCTTCCACCCCACACGGTCCGCCATCGGGGCAGGACCTCCGGTCACATTTGGGGAAGACCAAGTGGGGCACTTTTGTTGCCAATTTGTGCCGGTGTGTTTTTCCAGGGTACCTTCCATGCGAAGTGGAGAGGACAGGACTGTCGGGGGCGTTCCTCACTCTGAAACTGGAAACTGGGGTGGGAAGACAATTGAATTGTGGTTTCATCGTCGAAGAAGAGGATTGGGCGATGGCGTGAAAAGGGGACGGCGCGCTACACTAGATGAAGAACCCAAAAATAGGGGAGAAATTGAGGGGTTCTTGTACTCCTATTCTCCATGCTCTCGATATTATCCTCACCATCATCACTACTACACACTACCTACCACCTACCTATATATCCTATCCATTAGTACTTGCTGGTGCATTGTCTTGGTAGTTCTGTTGTGAGTAGGCCTGCCGTGTTACTTGCGTGGTTCGACGATAAGGTAGCCTCGGGATAAATACTGGTATAGAAAAGGGGTCGACGCCGTGGACCTCACTCTTGGGATTGACACCCTCGCCCAGTCAAGGATGATAATGATGTTGGCGATCCGCCTGAATATCACGCAGTGTTGAACCTCACCTTTTGAACCTCGTCACGTGCGGTATACAACATCACTCCAAGGACTGAACGTCAACAGTCAGGGCATCCCAGGAGGTGCATTAGCCCACTCATTGCAACTAAACTCTCTATCGAGTCAGGTCCATGTTTATTTGATATGATGCAGAGAGTCACTACATGCCACAGTGGTGCGCGGCGGGAGAGTTCTTCATCGTTCCACATCCGTCTAAAACAAAGCCATTATCGCTTTGAAGTCCCAGCACTCGAGCATTGTCCTGAGGTTAGCTGCGCTGTCTCCGAAGAACTGATAGCAGCATGCACATCCAATCCCCACTCAGAACAGGATTCCAGATTCTTCATCGGAGGATGCCAGGTGGAATCCTTCCTTTATCCCTCCTCACCCGCGCTCCTTGTCCTCGGATCTCAAGCAACTCAGCTTCTTTATCTTTCACCATGCCCTTGACCCCATCCCTTTACACCACCCCAAGATAATGACATGCTACAGGAGAACTCCACAACCTCGCCTTTCATCCCAAAGCTATAAAATCCCCGCCCACCATGCCAACCATGCCAGCATTAAGGCTCCATCCCAAACCCCAAGCCCAAACCCCCCAGGGATCTCCAAGATACCTGATCCCCAAGCTAACCCAACCCAAATCCCCACTCCCCAAATCCCCACCTCCGTCAACAAAAACTAACCCAAAACCCCCGGCCCCTCCTCCTCAGCAGAGCTGCAGCTGCGACGCCCCCAAAATGTCCACCTCAACCCCCTCCGGCAGCACCAGCACCCCCAGCAGCACCCCCAGCAGCGCCGCCGCCGCCAGCATGCAGCGCCCGGTGCTGGCCTGCTACCCGGAGTGGCGACCCTTCCTGGACGCCTGGCCCGGCAAGACCATCATCCGGCTGATCGTGCTCCGCGCCCCGGCCACCGCGCCCACCACGCTGCATTCCGAGGAGGGCTGAGCGCGCGCCCGCACCGAGCTCCTCTGCCGGATGCGCCTGCTGCGCGACCGCTGGCCCTACCCGGGGGCGCGGCGGTTCGGCGGCGCCATCTTCTGGGCCGACCAGGTGCGCTTCTACACCGAGGTGCTGGAGTCGGATTATTATACGGTTCCTGGTGGTGGTGGTGGTGAGGAGGTGAACGGCCTGGTGAACGGGGACGCGGATGCGGATACCCGTGGGCTGGAGATGGTTGACTGCGGCGGGGGCCAGGGGGGCCCTACGCCTGAGGCGGTGCGGTCGGTCGAGGGATGGCTGGCGACGGTGGGGGATAATGATCCTCAGGGCGGGGTGTGGGGGTTGTTGGTTGATACGGTGGTGGTTTGATTTTTGTGGGTTTGGTTTTGGGAGGGTTGGTGGGTGGAGGTAGGTGTAGGGTGTAGCTGATTCGGGGATGATGCCCTGCGCTCAGTTCTGTGTCTTGATGGTTTAGCTACCTACTACCTAGTTTACCTAACCTGAATCTCCGTCCCTATCCCTTCCCCCCCCTCCTTTTCTTTTGTAGTTCTTGTATAATGTTTGAAATATTGAAAAAACTGTCGGTCACTCTCACTGGAGATGGAAGATTCTTTGATGGTGTGTGTCTGCAATTATTTGTGTCTGCAATTCTTATTATTATACTTATACCTTGAGATTGTTTTTTGTATATTGGCTTCATTTTCGGATTTAGTAGATGTGTTTTTGGGGTTGTAGGTTGGTCTCTCTATATAGGGTTTGCCTTCGGGACCCTAGACTGTACATACGAGGGGTGTGGTATGGACGGCATACTGTTAGCCCTAGTTTCTCTCGGGCTCCAGGTTTCAAGGTTTGGTGCGGTCTCATTCTCGGTGCTATTCAACTGCGACTACTCCTCCGAGAGAACTTGAATTGTTCACCTAATATGCGGTATTGCCCATCGCATGCATACATAGACTCATATTCAATTTAAGCAGGTCAGACTGAACCCGATCATCCTGCGGCAGCAGCATTCCTAGACCCCGACGACCCAGCCAGCAACACGAGAACCTATCAAACCCCCGCAATCTTCCCCACATACACGTTGAAGTTATAATACTTGTTGCACTGGCTCTGCACCGCCAACCCGCCCTGTCCACTCAGAATCGTCTGCCCGTTCCGACTCACGGTGAACGTCTGCGGGCCCGTCCCCATCGAGACGTTCGACGTCACAATCCCCGCGGGCACCTCGATCCGCACGGGGCCATTCGACCCGCTGGTCACCGTCAGCGTCGCCGGGCTGGTCAGCAGGGTCGCCACGAAGATGCTGTCCCCGAGCATGGCGATCCCGTTCGGCGGCCCGAGGTTGTCCTCCGGGCACGAGACCCCCTTCGGCGTGGGCCGGTACCAGTACACCAGGCTGTCCTTCTCGACCCGCGGCGCCGTGGCCCCGGCCTTGTACGCGGCGATGTAGGGCTGGTACAGGTCCCGCCAGGCGTCGTGCGGCATGCCCTTGGCCCACTTGGAGGACCCGTCGTCGCTGTGGTTGGCCGCGTAGGGGCCGATGTAGTGCGATTCGCCGTAGTCTAGATTCAGTGTGGGTATGTATACATGCAGTAGGAGGGTGATCCTGCTACGGGCTCATGGAGGATGTGCCTACCATTCCACGAGATGATCTCAATCAAACTGGGCCGGAGCGTCAGCATCTGCTCCCACCGGAGGGTCGGCAGGTTCTCGCAGATGAAGACCCAGTTCTTGCTGTTGAAGTGGGTGGCGAACCAGGGCGAGACGGCTGTCGCTCTGTTAGCTCGGTAATACCCAATGCTGACAACCACAGCGACGATGGAGCACTCACGCGCCATATAAGTGGTCCCGGCCAGGTCCTTGACATACCGATCATCCCAGATCGTCGTCATGGGGCCCCTGATGATGCTGTTGCCGCCGTCGGTGGGCCAGGCGTACCACGAGAAGGCGCCGTCCGCGGCCCGCGCCCGGTTGCTGGACGCCTCGGCCGGGTCCTGCAGGTTCGGGAGGGCGTGGATCGCATGCGAGGTCCCCTGCTTCACGGGGCCCCAGTTGAAGCTGTCGCCCACGAAGGTGCTCACCACCGCGCCGCCCCGGTACTGCATCTGCGCCGGGTGGGCGGCGTACTGCTGCATGTAGGCGGTGATCTTGGCCGTGTCGCCGTTGGTCCAGTACGCGAAGTCGAAGGAGATGAACACCTTGAAGCCCACCTGCTGCGCCGCCTGGTACGCCAGCGCCAGCTGCGTCGGCGTGTACTTGTCGATGCTGGCGCAGTTCAGCGCGAAGGCGTCGATGCCGATCGCTTGCGCCGCTTGCATGTCCGCGATCCAGTCTTCTACTTGGTAGTTCTCGACGATGCCGACCTGTGGGTGGTTAGCTTAGGTGATGCGGTATTGAGGTGTGAAGAGACATCTTGACGTACCATGAAGTGGGCAAAGACATATCGGTTTGAGGCCTGGGGTTCATCGCGTTCAACCTCGACAGTGGGGAAACCCCAGACTGATTGAAGGATACTGAGCACAACGACGACGAGTTGCAGAAAAGTATTCCAAATCATGCTTGCTTCTTCAGTGAGCTGTTCAAAGCTTGAATAGCTTCCTCATATCCTGGGGAAAGAGCCCACCCCCGCGCTTTTATGTTGGACTCGCCATTCTCCCCCGATTTGTGCAATCGAGCAGAAGGGAGTACATTTCCCCTCCTTCTCTTCATCCTGGAGCACATCCATCGTCGTTTCCCCTAGAGCAAGACACCTTAGAGGCTCGAGATCGCAGTCGATGAGACCGGTGTAACCCATGGCTGCACCTCAGAAATAAGGTTATGCGCGAGGTTGAACCACGTGAGATGCTGCAAACCGTCCGAGACCTTCTCCCGACGGGCTTTTCTCGATCCTACAGTAACACTCGGAGATTTAGTCTTCCACTCGATCAGCGCTGGCAAGCTTCTGACCTGGTCACATTCATGATGGTGGCTCGGCAGCGATCGAAGTGACAAGACGCCCTGCCATCATGCATGTCCAGGTACGAGCCGAGCCGCTTTCCGCGTCGAGAGCTTCTATGGACAACGTCCTCGATCTTCGCAGACAGCGAGTATATGACTCAGAGCAAACGGGTGCGTTTGTCACGATGCAACAGTCTGATTTTCTTGCTTCGCAATGCCCTGAATTGGCGGTCTGCAGCTGAAACTGCGAGTCAAACAGGTGTACATTCATGTCACCGCACAAGTCTCCACGGCATTGCCGTCGTGCATGCAAGCCGTGTACGACGTCGGTTCAACTGCATCATGCGCAGGGCGTATGACAACTACGGAGGAGAGTTGTTATTCACGTCGGACCAGAGGCTCAGCGTTGGATTGTGTGGGGATTGGCATGTCGCAACTAATGTACGGTACATCAACTACAGTAACCGGCTAGGGACTGTGCGTCGCTCCAGTCAACGAGCTAAGATACACCTTGCAGCGGATTCAACCACACCAACCACAGGAACTACCCACCGACTTCATGCCCCAGCATCAGTAGCTTCTCACGTACAGTGTCTGGCAACACGGATAAGCTGGGCCTTGAAATCCCAGTGAAGCGGATAGTTCCAAATCCTCAAGTACTCCGTCAACGAAGGCTGGGTCCCGAGCATGACCGTCCTCAGTTTCTCCAAGTCGGGATCGTTCTCCTTGCTGCTGCTGCCTTCCCATGCCATGTCACGGTTCGCTCGCACCCACGTCCCCGTCACAGTGGCACCCGATACCTCAAACCTCCACAGCTGTTTCCCTTCCACCGCCTCCGTCGCATACTGCCTCTCGTCATCCTGCTGCTCATGGGCCACCAGATACACCACTTCTAGGGCCCGCCAGTGCCAAAGGAGATGGACCAGAACCGCCGGCTCTTCCTGGATCATCCTCACCGACAACGCCACGTGCCGGAACGCCCGCTCCGCGGCCGAGTAGTTGGCGAAGGGGTACGCGGGCATGCTCCCCACCGTGGGTTTCTCGCGACAGAACCCATTCCACAGATCGGCGGGGATGTAGAGGGTGTCGGTCTCCGGGTGGAAGGGCCGAACGAGTACGTGGTGGTTGTGGGTCGGTCTCTTCCACGACGAGAGGGTCTCCGTGCCTTGCTTGCCCACCCAGCGCAGGGCGGTTCTGCGAGCCTCCCAGTTGACGAATAGGTGCGGGAGCTCGGCCACGCGGGGGTGCACCTGGCCGTGTCTGAAGTCCATGCTCTGCGGCATCCCCTCCGGGAGGGAGCCATCGTCTGCGGGGGTGTCACGGGCGCAGGTGGTCGGGCGCTGGCTGTAGAAGTACAAGGGCTGTTCGATGAGCTCGGGTAGGGCTTCTTCCCAGATCTTGAGGCGCAGCTCCGCGGGCAACTTGGAGAATTTGGGGAAGGAACTTGTTGCCATGGCTGGTGAAATCTGTTCGAAAATGTTGTGGTATGGAGTATGGACTTGGTGGAGTTGGTTAGGAAAGGCTTATTTCACGGCAAATACAAGATGCCTTACCAATTTAAGTTGATGTGCAAGGAGCGATCAGTCTTCCGGATATCGTCACTTTTCAACACACAGCAGTTTACTCAAGCCAACATTCTTGAAGATCAGGCAGTGGGATGTGTGAACAGCGTTGAGATGAAGGTGCTCAGGGTGATCCGATACTCCTAAAGTGAGGTAGATGAACATTGAGAACAGCTTCCTCTTGAAAACACTTAGTGGGATCTCACTTCTTGATAATCATAAGAGTGGGTGTTAGATCGATGAGGGTGATCTGAAGGCATAACTTCTTTTCAAGTTGCCTTTTTGCATCAAGCTTAGTGAGGACGTGTCCCACGTCTTCACATATCAATATACATTCACATAGAAAATTCATTCACCAGGAACACCGGTATGATCTGCCCACGGTCTTCACAGCAACAGTGCTTCGCCCATATGAACATCACGTGAGCAACCAGCATCTTGCTGAGACCTGAACTCTTCTACAGTCTCATATCCTCTTTGCCAGAAACATGCTGGCTTGCATCGATCGTTGCCTGTGGGTCTCATATTAAATTTATAGACTGTGTTTGGGGTATTTACTACTGCTGGATGCGCCAAGACCAGAGAAACTGCCTTTGGTAGTAGAAGTATAGAGTATACCTGCATATATCAAGTAACTCGTCAACTGTAAAGGCTACCGAGGAAGGGTGGAAGGTTTGCGTAGGCTACAGTGGGAACTAGGTCCTAAGAGATCCGTTATCTGTATAGCTGATGCTTATAGTTATGATGTATATATCAATATCGCTGTCGTGGAAAGCAGTAGAAAAAGCTGTTCTATATGTCCTACTTATGCAAGGAAATTCCGGTCATACCTGTATATTCTATGACCGCAAAGATTAGGATCGGTTATATACACCCGCAGACAAATTGGAGTAATAGACATGTATGAACCGCAACGTTCAAGTACATAGCTGGATAGATGTACTAGGATGCTAGGCTATGTGTTGAGGCTGCCTCCGCACGGCCCATCTGGCTCCAGAAGCAAGAATAAATTATACACATATGTACACGTATATGTACGGATACAAGTATCAAAGAGCTGGGTATGGTTGTCAGTAAAGGGCTGACTAATGCGCACTGATGTGTACTGTAATATGTATACTATGCAACATTCTAGCATTGATTGAAGGGTGGACAAGTGGTCACAGTTCAAGAAAACTACTAGAGAATGTGATAAAGTGTCTATGGCTGAGGAGACCCTGGTGATAAAGGATATTACCGTCGCCAATAAGAGGCGCAGTAGTCAAGTAAACTCAATTGATAAAGGATATCACTGTTGTTAGAAAGAAGGAGCAGTGCTCTATTGTCAAGTATATCGACAAACACTCCAGGCGATTGAGAGACGCCTGCAGTCCACAAGGTGTAGTTACCTCTACTTAAGTCAAAATTTGTACTTATAGCACTAAGTTGAGGCGGATATCACAACAACAGGTGCTGTGGTCTAGTGGTATGACGTCACGTTGTGGCCGTGCCAGCCCCGGTTCGATTCCGGGCAGCGCCACTTTCTTTTTTGGTTTGTTTTCTTTTTACTCCTCATAACATGTTGCTCGCACCCAGCTGGAATTATTTTGTGCCTGTACTTTGTCAATTTTGAACATACCGGTCATACGAAAGTCGAACAGGCTGTCTGGCTATCACTCATCTCATACTTATATACACAAATGGCTATATACAAAGCGGCAGGCGGGACGTGAAGCAACACGTCCAATGCGGCTATCGATAAGCGCCGCGTTTCTTTGACCGGCTATCAGCCATTATCGGCGCGATTCTTTCTCTCCGCGCATCGCATCTCTTCCTCTTCAATCGACTCCTACATCATCCTCTGCGGCTTTTGATGGCTATCCCAGAAGGTGCAGAGGCGTCTATGCCTCTCTATCGTCCTGCGAAACCACTTCCCTTTGAGCTGGTCCAGCACTCCGGCATCTTCCTCGAAGAGAAGCTATGTATGTCTCGCTCTATACAGTTCATCTACTCCTTTGTTTGCGAACGCTCACATTTCCCACCAGATACACAAGCTCTTAACTTCCTATTAGAAATTCTCACCGCGGGTACTATTGCTTATACGCCAGCCTACGTTCCACCACCTCAGCACCTGGCTGTCGCCGCGACCTTCCTTGTACACCCCTCCACGACCACTCGCGCAAAGACAGCCGAGGAGGAAGAAGCCCCCAATGCATCCCTCCGTCTCCTCCGCCTTACCAACGCGCTCGTTGGGCCCAAAGCCGCCAAGTTTGGCCTCGCATTCTCCTTCAAGCACTTCGAAACATCGCGCCATGGCCGCCGACGTCGCGGGGCCGACAACGCGCTCACCTCGCCGGATGCGACAGAGGATATCATGACGCCGATAAACCTCGACCTGGGGGAATCACAATCCATCTGGTCCCGTGCGGAGGACTTCTGGCATGCCGTCGGGTGGGCATTCCAGTGCTCTGTACTACACCACGAGCGCTGGGAACACTGGCGGATCTGGCTCGAGTTCATGTGCGAGGTGCTCGAGAGTGACTGGAATGAGCGCCATCGACAGTGGATAGAGACCAAGGACGCCAGCACGGACGCCGAGGATGTGAACACTACGAAGCGCAGGTCCAAAATCACGACCAAGAAGACCGATGCAGCCGATCAGATACTGAAAGACAGCCTCATCGTGCGCTACATCGAAGGCGCGAGCGCCACCTACGGCCGCAATCGTCGAATCGTGAAATCTATCTTCGCCGACGGCCGGGCTACAACCTCCAACGAGTTCCGCGAGGTCTTTGAGAATGAACTCAAGCATGGCAAGCACAAGAGGTCCAGCCACAATAGCAAGAAGCGCGGGATGCGAGTCAACATCGACGCGGAAGAGTATGGAGATTATTTGACCGACGACGAGGAGGACGAGGACAGTGTTGATGCCGGTGACACCACCACGACAGATGACTTTATTGTCGGAGACGTCGAGCCACGGGCTCTACAAGGACGCGGCCGTGGTCGCGGTCGCGGTCGCGGCGGTGCAGGGACTCCAGCCTCGTCGAGACGAGATGCTGGTGGTGGTGGTGTTGCTCTCCGACAGTCAAAACGAGCCCGACGAGGTACTCGCCCGCAGGAGACCCGCCCAGAGCCCACCATCTTCACCACACCGGCGAACTTCAAGACACCGGACAACTACGGCACGCCTACAGGCACGTTCAAATACTCCGATCCGACCTCTCAACGCTATGTCCCGGACGACCAGATCCCCCCCGGCCACCTCGCCACCATGCACGCCGACCCCTGCACCCTCGGCGGCATGCGCTCCATCACCCTCCGCCAACGCCTCCTGCACCTCCTCTCCACCGTCTCCGAGACCATCCCCCAACACTTCATCCCGCTCGAGGAGCTGTATCACCTCTTCGCCGAGAACATCCGCCACCTGCCCCTCCCCTCGTACCAGGCCTTCATCAGCCCCACCGCCCTCCCGCACTTCACCCCGGCCGCCCAGACCACCCTCTGCGAGTACCTGCTCTTCCGCATGCGCGAGTCCGCCGCCCCCGACACGGACGACGAGTACCTCAGCCAGGCGAAGCTGGAATACTGCTTCCTGCCCTACGGCGCCAACACGAACTCCCCCGCCGACAACGCCAAGGTCTCCATCACCCTGGAGGCGCTGCTCATCCTGCTCGCCGACAACGACATGCTGACCGTGACCCCGGCGCTGAAGGAGGCCGTCGGGGAGGGGATCATGGCTCGCGAGCAGCGCCCGATCCACGATGGGCGGAAGAAGCGCGAGGCCGACCTGCACGCGGGCGACATCGAGTGGGCGTGGCTGTTGGAGAGCGGGCGGCGGTTGTGGTTCCTGATCGACGAGATCATTCCGCTGACGCAGGGGAATGAGGATCACGGGATGCCGGTTGCCGCGGTTTGAGACGTTTGGGCTCCTGACGCGAAGATTGATTGTGGATGGTGGTAGTGGGCGGTTGAAGCTGCGAGTCGGGCATTTTCAAATTTGTCTTGTGCTGCACAGCCTGTGCTTGTTGATCGTGTTGATCTCTTCTCCTGTTTTTCTTTTTTTTTTTTGTCATGTTATATTTCCGGGCGAATTTACCTAGGAAGTGCTTCTTTCTCGAATAGCCAGATAGATACCCTGTTGTTGTGATTGTAGCAGAGATAAATTTCTTGAGTTGAGCATCTGAATTACATTCTTATTTCGATTATTCGTTCTTCCTCTACTTATTATTCTTCTGAAAGAAACATTCGTACTACAGAATCCACCAAGCCATGGTCCCTTTCCAAATGGGCCTGTTAACAAAAGCAAAACCAACAAATCGCATGCAAAATGCATCTCAATTCCAAATATTACCATGCTGATAGACCAAAAAAAACGGGTATAAGTACGAACATCCTCTCCCGCAGACTAAATCCCCTCCATCCATCACTAAATCCTCAAAACATCCACCAGATCTTAGCCAATCGCTACCTATCAACCACATCACCAACCACATTTCCAACCACATCTGCACCCACATCCCCAGCGCGAAACCCAACCCGAGAATTCGAAATAACCGCAGTGAACACCCTGCAGATACTAGGCTCAAGGCGCAGGCCGCGGCCCGATAATCTGCCTCCGGGCGCCGCCGACGCCCAAGCCGGGCCCGCCGCGGTTCTGGTTGTCGCCGCCCATGTAGCCGTACTGGTGGACGTCCCAGGCGCCCTGGCCGGGGCCGGAGCCGAGCGAGCCGTCGCGCAGCCCGCGGGCGGCGGCCACCTGGGTCTGCTTCTGGCTCTCCTCCCACTCGCGCTGGCGCTCGCGCTCGCGCTCCATCTCGCGCTCCAGCAGGGACTTGGAGGCCCAGCCGCCGGCCTTGGTCGTCTGCTGGGCGGCCAGGCGGCGGCTGTTCTCGGCGTCGACCTCGGCGGTCGTCGTGTAGTCTGCGGGGCGGTGGGTGGCTGGTTTGGGAGAACTGGGGGGGTGGTTGGTGGAGAGGAAGCGGTCGACTCTGGTTGCGGGAGAAGCGGGGACGGGTTTGCGGATGGGGGACTGCGGGGGCGAGGTGTAGGTTGCTGGGTCGGGGAGGGGGCGCGGGGGCATTGCTGGGGATTGTGATTCGGTGGGGGTGGGTTCGGGCAGAGGGCGGCGGGCGGGTAGGGATGGAGGGGGTGGGCTGGAGGGACTCTCGGCGATAGGAGTGGGGAGGTTGTTGTTGTTGGTGTTGTTGTTGTCTTGCTGCTGGTCGTCGTCGTGGTGCTTCTGCCACTCTCCGCGGAGGAGTCTGCGTTCTTGCTCGAGGGAGGAGAGATCGTAGCTGGGCTTGGGGGGCACGGGGACCGGACGCGGGCTCCGCGCGGTCTCCGGGGACGTTGCGCGGGTGGCATCGTCCCGTTCGCGCTCGTACTGCCGCTCGCGCTCCTTGGCCCGCTCCAGTTCGTGTTCCAGCTGGCGGATGCGGTGGCGCTCCTGGGATTCCGACGTCGCGGCGGGTTTGCCGGCCCCGGCGACCATGCTGGCTTGGTACTGGCTGAGGAACTGGCCGTTGAGGCGGCTGTCCTGCGCTTCGCGGCGCTGGAGTCGCTCCTTCTCCAGCCGTGCCTCCGTCTCGCGCTCCTCCTGCTGGCGCTTGTCCTCCTCCTCTTGCCACTGGCGCTGTTGCTGGTCCCAGCGTTGGCGCTCCGCCTCCACCTGCAGGCGCTCCTGTTCGCGCGTCCGCGCCGTCTCTTCCTCCCAGCGACGTTCTTCCTCGAGACGGGCCTGCTCTTCATCGACCTCCTGCTGCTGTTGGCGGCGCCGCTGGTCCTCCAGCTCCTGCAGCCGTTTTCTCTCCTCCTCGTCCCGCCGGCGCTTCTCCTTCTCCGCTAGACTGGGGACGTGGGGCGCGGCGGTGGTGATCTGGCGCCGCGCGCCGAACGCAACACCCTGGTTGCCCTGGCTGGCTCCGCCCATGTAGCCGTATTGGTGGATGTTCCAGGCCGGGGCCGTGCTGTGCTCGTCCGACTTCTTGCTCCAGGTGCTGACAGGCTGCGGCGATCGCGCTGGGCTGGAGTGACCCGAGTTGCTACCGCCCAATCCGAGCGACTTGGTGGGGGTATAGGCACCGCCCTGGCTGGACCCCGTCACATGTGGACTGAGCGAGCTGCCCTTGGACTGGGGGCCAATGGCGTAGGGGAACTTGCTGGGCTGGAGAGCGTTGGCCCGTCGGCTGAACGAGGTCAGGCATTGGAGCACCTGGGCGGGGTCCTTGGCCTCGTAGAGATCGACAGTCAGAAATACGTCATGCGGGGGCAGGCTGAGAGGTGGCATCTGGCAGGCGCGCAGGAAGTGGGAGATGTTTTCCATCTGCACGAACGGCATGGATGACTGCTTGTATTTGACACCCGGCGATACGGCGAGGTTTACTAGTCTGTGAGCAGGCTGCGATCAGTTTGCGATTCCCATCCGGAAGGGAGTTGTCTCTATCAGACGAAAATTCCAGCTCTTACCTGCAAAGAGCCACTCCATCTTTCAGAGCTTCTAGAAGATCTCCTGCTGGGAGTTTGTCATGGAGCACTTCTTCGATCCAGCTGCGGACTTCCGCGGCTGCTTGCGGGGTATAGCGGGACAAGCGCAGATTGCGCAAGTCCTTATCCAGGGATGTGACGGAGGCCATTTTTGATTATCACACTCAGCTGTGTTTGCTCACAGATGTGTGAAGCATGTAGAAAGATCCTAGAAGAACCGAAGATGGCGAGTCGGCGCTGAAATAGGGGTGGAAAGGGGGGGCAGTGTAGGGCTTCTGTTTATATAGTGCCTAACAGCGAGTGGGACGAACCGCGGTACGTCACAGGGGGGGGAGGGGGGGAAGTGGTGGCTTAGGAGAAGACTCGCGGATCGAACGGATGCGAGATTGGAATGGAATGCGAAGGGACCAGTGGAGAATGATTGAACTAGAGGATTATGTTATGCCAGTCAGCAGAGGAAGAAGAGAGAGAGAGAGACACTCTCAGAGCTGATCGATGAGGACGAGGACAGGAAAGTCAAAGTCGAGAAGAGAGTCAGTCAGTCAGTCAGTCAGTCAGAAAACGAGGGCAACAGGCGGAATGCGGGAATCTTGGCCTCGTAATACGCCGCCAATACGATCGTTCTCGTATCGCTCGTACTGTACCGGCCGGTATGCGCCGATGACGTTCCGGCCGCAATAATAATTAATTCTAGTTATTGCTTGCCATCCCCAAATCAACTCCCTTCTGAGTGGATGAAATACCGAATACCGCATCTCATCTTACACACGCCCCCCCCCCCCCCGTGTTGCTGCCTGACATCGTTGCTCCCAGGCATTTTCTGACTTGCGTCGGGCAAATGAGTCCCATCAACAGTCTCTGGTTCAAGTGGAAGAGCCTGAAATTGCCGTGGCGCACTTCCTTTCTCGTGGGTATGTCCGCTCCAGTAAATCGCATTAACACAAAAAGACCCAGTCCAATGCTAATTCTGACACTCGCATCGCAGGCCATGATTTGAAGGGAAACACTTATTGGGAATTTAAAGATGCCCTGAATGCGAATCGGTATCGTCGCATCGTCAAATGTGACCCTAAAACCCACCTCTCCGATGTCCAAGTCAGCCGTAAGTGCTCCTAAGCGTTGGGTCAAGCCTGCAGTGCCACTGTTAAAAACTGACCTGTTCTTTCGTCTAGCACAATGGCACCAATGGCTTCGATACGTACGAGCGGACCCTCCGTCGATTGCAGAACAGCAACAGGATATCATCCGACAGATCCAACTCAAGGAGTTGGCTCGTCTCGCTGACGAACGGTGGGCGAGCAAGGCATCTTATCTCGATAAGCCGAAGACTCAGCAACCTGTCCCTGCTACTCAGACCAGCGACGCTACATTGAACCCTCCGAGGGAGGAGGCGCAGGCAACGGAGGCTACCCCTGCTGGTCCTCGGAACGAGAAGAAGGAGAAACCAGCTGCAAAACAGGACCCTTGGGCAAAGGCCGCCAGTGGACCTGGTGAGAAGTGGCAGCCGGATTCCTGGAATCCGACCTCTTCCCAGAGATGAGCTGGTTTCTTGCTTTGATAAAGTCCGACCTCAATCGCCAAAACGTCGATTGCTACCCCAAATTGCGTACATGATGCGAAGCAGGCTACTAGACTAGCCGTGTATCCTCCAAAGCTGCTGAAATCCTGGATGACCGTCTTGATGTTGGCAGGATTCACCCTCTCCACTCTCTCTCCATTTTACTTCAGGGGTCATGAGAATTGATCGGCGTTCCTCATCAGATCGGAGTGTCGGCGCGCCATGTTGGTGTGTAAGAAGAGGCGCATTAAGCATCAGTGATGCATAGAGGGGTCTCTGATGCAGGGACTTGCGAACGCACTGGTGTAAGCTTCGGGCGGCGTTGTATATTACCTACTTGAAGGATGTACTATATATATTGAACTAAGCGGGGCAAGTCCATGGCATTCTGACAAGTCTTCTGGGTACAACGGGTTCGATCATCAAAAGCTCGGCGCCAGCTTCGCATGACACTCAGAAAGCACATTCAAATGTTGACATTGCACCGGTCTCCAACAATTCCCCGGTCCAGTCAAGTCCAGTCTACTGTCTACATGCAGTGTTCAACTCCCCATTTTGAACTGGCAGAAAACGCGTCGTAAATGGAAAATACATGTTCAGAATTTCAGTCTACAGCCCCTTCCTTTTTATAGTACACGCGCGACATCAACGACGACCATCGAGACCCCTTTTACCTTTTCGCTTCTCTCCCCTCCGCTCTAGTTAAACACCTGCACATTAGGCATGCGACCCAACCCAGCACCCCCCGTCTTCTTACTCTTCGCTGCATGGAAGCCCGTTGCGCTATTATCGCGCACATGCGCCCGCAGCAGCTCCAGCACCTTCGACTCCTTCCACCGCGTCGGCACGGGCCGGTATGCAGCCTTGTAGGCGCCCACGGTCTGCGCCCACTCGCCGCTCTTGGCTCCAGTCTGCTTCCAGGTCTCGGTGACGGTATCCTGGGCCCCCTGGGCCGTGGAGGAAGGGGACTGTTCGCCGCCATCGGCCGGGGGATCCTGCGTAGCCCAGTAGTAGATATCCCAATCGTTCTCGTCGAGGAAGCGGTCATACTCCTGCAGCTGCGCCTGGTTCATCGTACGCAGGTAGACATCGGCGAAGGTCGACAGCAACAGGTCGGACTCGAGGATGCCGCGCTTTCTGCTCTGATCTGTTTCACCCAAAGACGATTAGTGAACGTTTCTCTCCCCTACGGTCCTATGAATTCGACAAGCGGCATGAAGAGCAGAATCATCTCGCACGAGGGGTAATATAGATTAATGATGCCAATAGCGAGGAAAGGGTAAGACATACACAACAACCGCGCGCGCATGGTCGTTACATCCTCTCCCGAGCGGCGGAGAGGCTCAACCCGGAAGGTGATACCCTCCATCTCTCCAACTCCCAGCTCCGGCTTCTGGGCCCCGGTCTCCTCGCGCCCGCCGGTGAAATGCTCAACCTTGCCGGGGTACGGGTCCGCCGGCTTGTAGTTCGGGTCGACGGCGCCCACGAGGTCCGGCGGCGCGGACTTGGCGCCCACCTTGGGGAAGTCCTTGGTCATTGTGGAGGTCGTGTTGGGGACATTGGGGTTGTGGGGCTTGTTGATCTCGTTCTCACGGTGCTGGGGCGCGGTCGAGGGAGCGCGATCCTTCACAGCGCCATCGCCGTTGAGACGAACAGCCGAGTTGCCGAAAGAGCGACGGGCAAAAGTGGTCGTCGTGGTGAACGAGAGGGAGGATGCGGAGGGCCGCACGAAGCGGTGGACAAGTCTAGATGCGGACATCGTGTCTGTGTGTCAGTATCTCGAATGAGTTACTGGGGGGCAAAGGAAAAGTCGTGAGGATAACGATTTTTTTGATCGGACTCTGGGGAAGGCCGTCGGCAATAGAGCAATTGATCCGGCGAATAAAGACCGGGTTGACATCATCCGCAGATGAAGCTGTTTGTTGTGTTTGCACGGCACGATGCAACCAACCGCAACCTGCTGATTTCGAAAAGTGGCAGCTTTCGCCTCTGCCCAGTGATGCTATCATGACTTCAGTCGAGGATTCTCTTTTGATTGGGAAACTGTGGGAGTTGTCGGAGAGAAAGGATATCCTATTCGCTGAATCTAGTTGGTTTGGGTGCTTTGATAATCACCAAGTGCGACTTGCCCACCACGGCTGTCATAGACTACAAACGATCAAAAAGTTGTATATGAATGCAATTGGAAGAAAGTCCATATATTGGTCATGACAAGTAGAGAAGCATCAACCTGTAACCTCCTCCATCCCCACAAAATACACCCCAAGCTACAAAGAAAGAAATCTAGATAAGGTGCTTGGATCTGAATGCAAAAAGAATTGGAAGGATTAGCCAAACCTTGCCCCAGATCCAGATCACCAGATACGCAATCAGGCAAGAGAAACGAGAAAGGAACATACCGGAAGTAGGCCCGCAAATAGACCACCTGCCAAGCGCCCAATCCAACCAACATGCCCATAGTGCCGAAAGCGAACCACTTGACACGCTCATTCGTGCTCTCGTTGGTGTCGCGCAGCTTCTGCTCACGGGCGCGCAGGTATTCCATCTCGCTAACGATTTCCGCGACCATCTCCTCGATGCGACGGAGGTCGGTCTCGACGGGCTTGAGCTTCTCCTGAACCTGGATGCTGGACCAGTCGCGGGCGTCGGCACCGATCTCGACGTCGAGCTCGATCGACTTGTAGGGGTTGGGAATAGCGTCTGCGCGATCACACCCAGAAGATGGTTAGCTATGGATTCCACTGGGTACGTTCTTTCGGAAGACTTGAAGGGAGAGCAAGGTGAGACGTACGGCGAGTGGTCAGCTGGTTGTCGAAGCAAACATCGAAGGCAGTGTCGGCAGGGGCAGTAAAGGCCTGGCGAGTCTCTCCAGCAATGTCCTTGGGACGACCGTGCTCATTGCCCAGGGCATCCTTAATCTATTCCCAGCATGTATAGTTAGCTGATTGATTGTCCCGACCCCAACCCTTCGTAGATCACTGGAGAATCACGACGAGTTCGACGCTTTGCTCGAACCGACGTCGTAAATATAGCTCTGGAATTATTGCCACGTACGTGCATGTTGACCACTTGTCCGTCACCCTTGTTGCCGCTGACAATGGCAGTGACTACGACCAGCTGGTCCTTGAAGACGAAGTTGCGGATACAGCGCTCATTCTTTCCACTGACGGCAGACAGGTCAAACTTGAGGGCAGTAGAGAGTTGAACAAAGAGAAGGAATAGAAGGCCGAAGAGAGACCTCATCGTAAAGTGAGTTGCCGCCATTGTTAACGGCGATTGTCGCAGCAGCCGACAGTAAGGTCTAGGAAATTGACAACGAAGCTCGGAAGCGGCCAGTATTATTGATGCCACGCCGCGCTCCAGGGGATCGGGCAAGGCCGGCATAACATTGATCCGGTTATCGCCCCCCCTTCCCGTTTCAGGTTGGAACAACAACGCCTACCATCAGCTATTGGCTGCAACATCATACTTACACTATATGCGACATGGCTCGTGACTCGTGGCTACAAGCAGTGACTGTACACAAAAGCCCTAATTTTTGGTCGTAGACACTATCATTCTGCGTCAGACAGCTAAATTGTGTTGCTATGTACAATATCGGCACAGGAGCCCCATCCTCTCCATACAAAGTAGGATGTAAAGATGCTTCGAGGAACCAAAAGTGACATCATAGGACGTAGATCCCAGATCGCATGATTCTTGAATTGAAATTAGTGGTTCTGGGAGTCACCGACAGAAAAGAAAAAGAAAAGATGAGACTTTGGGGGAATCAACCAAGAAAGAAAAGAGAATCGCTGCAAACGAGGGGTGGTACTGTTCGAATAGAACATGGCCAACGAGGGTAAGGGGGTGGGAAAAGATAGAACGAGTAACAGTTCCAATGTAAGAAATAGTGTCATTATGGACATGGAATGGAAAAGATTGAAGGTAGAGGTATCATCATCAAAAGTCACAACGCTCAGAAAGACAGGTCATTTGCCAGTGATAGCATGTCGTGTTCAGGGCCGCAGAGAAAACAACAGCTGTGATCAAAGAAAAAGAAAGTCACGGTGGCATGAATCAGACTTCAATCTTCTTTCGACGTGCGAAAAGGCGCGAGAAGCCTGATTCCTTCGGCTTAGTTGGGGGAGCGGTTTGCGTAGGTCTGGTCACTGGAGGCTCAGGAGGGCCAGTATTCCTCAGAAAGTCGGCTAGCGCACTAGTCTCGGTTTGCCTTTGAGAAACAGACGGTAAACCGTAGGCAGCATTCATGGATCCACCAGATTTAGTCGTATAGTTGTTGTTTGCCCCAGTCATATAACTCTCAGACGTCTGGCGGAGGGAGCTCCTTGAAGGTTGTGCGAGGACGTTCTTTTCGGTAGCCGTGGTCCGAGAGAGCAGGGTCTTCACAGATGAAGCACCAGCAAAGCCAGCAGATGAGCCCCGCCGGGCACCCATATTCGTAGTCAACGGTTGCGGGGGAGCTGCAGATGCAGGGGGTGGTACGTTTCGCAGGAAATCCATCAGACTTTCCTCATCGCGCTTTGGTTTCGCGGGTTCGAGAAGATCTTCAAGGTCGTCATCATCCGAGTCAATTGCATAGGGGTCTCGGACGCGACGCTGCGTTCGTTTCGGTCGAATATCTTCTGAAATCTCCTTGCTATATGTGGTGGGAGTGCTTGACCGAAGACCTGTCTCCAGAAGGCCGGTGTGGGAGCCAACGGAAGTTAGTGTATTTGCCGTCAGCGATCCTTGCATACTCGGACGCCCCGACTCTAGAGCCTGCAATTCGTCTGAGTCCATAGTATCACGAAATGGCGCCACCGCACGTGAGATCCGGTGAGCTCCGGGAGTAGGCGGTCCCTCGCGGATGAAATCAATCAGATCGGAGGTCTGATCTCCTTTCGGGGCCACAGCAGGGCGTGCTTGCAAACGTGCACTGCTGTTACGAGCTGAAGCACTCGCTGGTCTGGAGACCCTGCGTGAGACATCTGTCGCATCAGAAACGCGGCGCACGCTTGATGGCTTGCCAGAACCGCTTTTGTCAAATCCAGTGATCGTAGGAGTACCTGATCCAGTAGAATTGATGGATGTCGGCGATACGATACTTGGCTCGGTGGTGGGCTGTGGTGGGAGCACAGAAGGAACCACGATCGGGGTGTATTTTGGTTGGTCCGATGATTTGCACTTGGACATTGGAGCAAGGTCCATGATGCTCTTGGAAGATGCGTGAGATGTTCTTGGTCGCGCGATATCCGATTCGGACGGGGTGGTCTGCTGGGCTCGCCATCTGGGTGAATCAGGCAGCTGGTTTGACAATTAGTGGCATTCCTTGACGACTTCATGGTTGAGGGACTCCAGACATACCTCCATTTCTCTCATGTTTCTAGGAGTCAGTGTGAAGTGTAGAGTTTCTTCGCTACGGATAAGCTCATCTAAGCCGGTGGTGTCATCGAAAGCTGACTCCTGAGTTGACACCCTGCTTATCTCAGACGAGTTTCGCAGGCGCAAAGAGTTGGAATCCCCTGTACGGACGATCAGGCCTTTCAGCTTGCTTGAAGCGGATGATGAGCCGGACGTCACAGGACGCCTCTCGCGGCTGCTGCCGAAACTGTCCGAGCGGCGCGGTTTGGAATAGCTTGAAGATGCCACCGAGGTGGTTGGTCGCCCTGACAGTCTTTGAACGGCGGCACGCTCAATGCCGGATTTGACAGACGAGATTCCAGGGCTGGACCGCCCGTAGCGATGATTGGTATCGTTGGAGAGGGGGCTAGATTTGGGTAGTTTCCGCGAGACGTCAGAGGAGGCGCTATCTCCAGAGGTAGAAAGGGGCCTGGAGGCCTTGTACGAATTGCCGTCATCGGTCGAAGAACGAGTGGTAGGAGGGGCTACAGACTCCTCGGATGATAACTCGTCGAGATCGACAGCGGGCGCTACCGAGGCGGAGTCAGCCCCTTGCGTCTGCGGTGCGTCTTCCTTGACCGTTGACCCAAATTGTTCCTCCACCAAAACAGGAGTAGCAGGCGGTGACCGCTCTTCGTAAATCGATGATTCTCGCATCGTTTTTGGTCGTGGTCGCTGCGCAGAAGCCAACCTTGGTCTTGCACGTGCCCCTTGACCCTCGAGTTCTGTCTCGATCGGTGACGTTGGGGACACCGGAGTGATCACCTCGTGGGCGACGGCAGAGGTGGCTAGAACAGTGGTCGTCTCCGGCACTGAGTTTGTCTCTTGGTCTACTTGATTCACGAGTTCAATAGTTTCCTCCTTGTGTTCCTGGTCGGCATTCCGCTCGTCATCTTCATCATGTTCGTACATGGTCTCCAAGCGCCGCCGCTCCTCGGACGCAGTCGGTGACGGTCGCTCTGGAAACTGCTCAGGTTCCGGAGTCTCCTCCCCGGGTCCAGCGTTGGGCAACGATCTTGATCGAGCATGACGGGTGATTGTCATGGTCTGTAGCTTAGGAGTAAGGGGCGAGTTGCCGTTCGATGATGGCGATCTCGGGGAAGGCAGGGTGAGTACCATAAGACTATGGGGACGAACTTTGTGGGCTACTACAGCCTGCATGGTCTGGATCTCGCCGGCCTCAAGCTCTGGCAGATAACCAGGGACCTCGATTTCCTGGATATCGTGGTCATTAAGCGGCAAGGGTACCAAGGTTGGGTCGACATCTTTTGGTGTTTCGGGGACTGGTGAGGTTGCCGAACGGACGGAGAATTCATCTGCGGTGAAAACGCTGCTCTTCCTACTGCCGGTAGTGGTGAACACGCTATGGCGGCGGCGCATTGATTCTCGTGAAACTGCCCGCGACAGGTTGGACCCCCGGACGCGTTTGCGCCATGTTCGCCAGAGTCGGCCCAGTGTCGGGTTCAAGGCCAACTTCTCCATGTCATGATCCTCCACTACCAGTCGGTCCATACTTGCGCGATTGATACCAGTCTCCATAGATTCTTCAGAATCTTGCTCGAGCTTGGTCGACAATCGTGACCGAGCTGTCTCACCCGCGATGATCAATGCTTGTTCGCCCAAATGCTCGATAATCGAAGTCAAGAAAATGGCTGCGGCGGGTGTGATATTCCCTACGTGACTAGCCAGTCTTCGCGGGACGCCGTCTTCATCGGCTAAGCCTTCCCGTGCGATATGCTCTTCCTCCTCGTCCTCTTCCATGTCCCCCAGTCGCGTGTAAACCATACATCGCAGGCGAGTGAGCTTCCACGAACGAATCAGGTCGAATTCACCGCCAGGGGTCTGGCCGCCACGGAATTCGAGCTGCTCGTCTTCCGGGCCACCCAAGACCTCACTCAGCTCATCGTCCGCTGCCTCTACCACTTCCTTAGCGAGACGGGGCTTTAGGACGTCCGCCACCGCTGGTCGGATGCAGGCCAACTGTGTTGATTTTGCTGCAGCTAGGATATCAAATAGAAGGTAGTCAAGGAAACCGTTGAGGGCTGACAGAGCCTCGCGAGTCACAAAAGCACTGGCAGGAGAGCCCGGTCCATCTTCATCGGGAACGAAGTCGGCCGCATTAAATTCCTGGTCTGTGGTGATAATCTGGGCTGCAGCGGAAGAGGCGATAAAAGTGGGCGCTGGTGTAACTACTGTGGGGGCGAGCAGATGGGCTCGGGGGAGTTGGGAGTCGCTGGAAATACTGGTGCTGCGCGAGCGCGAGACCGTCCTCCCCATCTCCGGAGAATCGGGTCCTTTGCTGTGCTGCATGGTCGTAATGCGAGGATCACATACAGTCGCAAAGAGGTCGGCCTGAAGATCGCAGATCGAACAAAGAAGACGGGAGCGGGGTGAATTATTATTCGGGGTGTCCAGCAAGCTCAGGAGCGAATGAAGGGGACTTTAGTATCCTGAAACGCGACAGAGACATTTGGTCAGCCTTTGAACAATACGAAATGAGTTGCACAGCCCATATTGGGGGCCTTGCGACTTGATTTTTTCTTTTTTGGGTACTGCCTTAACGGTAGATGTCGTAAGATTGCGTCAAGCCACAGAGCATGCGGCAAAAGCAATTATTAAAGCATGAAGAACAAAGGAAGATCGGGTAGAAGAAGTAAAAAAAAGCAAAAACTGGCAGCACCAGCGGAGAGGCGCACGCAGTCGCAAAATGGGGTCGAGGCTAGAACGTACCCGGTGTAACGAACCAACTAACAGAACGTAGTGTGCATGTCGCAGTACTTGACTTATGGAGGGATTGAGAGACCGAAATCCGAACGATCAATGAAGATCTGGACTATGCTTTGAGATAGGGCTGGTGTTGTGGTTTTAAGGAGAGGGTGATTCAGCGGATGGTCGGAGAGAAGCGTAAGGGAGTGGAAATGTGAAGAAGATGAGGTGAGGTGTAAAAAGGGAAAGCGAAAGAAAGAAGAGAGGGGGGGAAAGAGAGAGAGAGAAAGAGAGAGAGAGAGGAAGAGAGAGGGGGTTCGATGAGTAGGGAGAGAAGAGAAAGAGTATGAGTGAAGGACCTTATGGGAGGTGGTGAAAGTTCAGGAGTAACAGTCAAGCCATCAGGTAGGAGTTTGTATGTATGTACAGTACTGTATGTACATAGAAGTGGCAGCAACAGCAACAGCGACAGCAACAGTCAACGAATGTGAATGGACGACTGCCCCCGTCTACACCGTCTCTGTAAATTAGGATCCGAGAGATTCTTACAATTTACAGACAGACAGACACAGCAGCGGGACTGAAAAAGTGACTACTAGCAAAATCAGGAGAGGTGGAACCCATCATCCGCTTCAATTCCACCCGGAGGGTCAAGAGAAGCAAATGAACATCGTTGTCGGGTGGTGTGGGGACTTATACGCTTTGGCTGCACAGGAACTGGAACTGGAACTGGAACTGGAACCGGAAGGTAAGAATAGGCCAGTGATTTCCCTTTTTCCTTTTTCTACATAGTACCGAATAACTTACCAAGGACTGACTGACTGACTTATCTTCTACACCGTCCATGCTTCTCCGCTTTGTGCATCGAAGGGGGTGACTGGAAAAAGCAAGCTGTTCATGACTTATGACTTGTTAAAGTTTCCAACCAGACCATCATTCTGATGGGACCCCCACGAGTCGGAATGCATCAAGCACGAGGGCTCTGGCAAGATCGACATTGGCCTCGGGGTCGCCACCGACTTGAGACCTTCTCGGGTCAGGAACAGCTTGGCCTCAGATATCGGTTTCGGGGAGAGCGACAATCCATGGACGAAGCACTGCAACTAGTTCGCCCGACAAACGGCCAGCACCATATTATTCCACGGTTCCTCCCTCGATTTCGATAAACATGAGCCGTCTGTTTTCTGTTTTTCCGAGCATCATCCGGAATCATGGTTGGAACGTCCGTTGGTCATGGTCATGGTCATGAGGCTTTGAGCATGATGAGAGAAAGAGAGGCCAGCATCCGGACCCCTACCATCAGCCACCAGCATCCAGGAGAAGTGGCCAGTCGGTTGCGACTAGAAGCAAATAAGAAAAGGCACCGAAGCCCAAGAAAACCGACGATCGCCAGAGCCGAACTAGTGAAAAAGGCCCCACCAGGCAGGCAGGGAAAAGAACCCTAAAGGATTAGTCACTTTCACTAAGGATGAAATACCGTCCCGACTGCAGGGGCACGAGGGGGAGTTAAGGGGGCGCTACTGCAAGCCGACTGGAATGTAAGCCTCCCACCCTGTCTCGTTGCTCTCGCCTCTCGTAGCGAGCCGTGTCTCATGCTTGCATTCAATCATGTTAAATTGACCACGAAGAAGTGCAATTTGAATCCACCTCCGAAGTACTCAGAACAGGTGCAAAGTGATAGTACTGTACTGTACTCCAGTACTTTTACCGGATATAACCGAGGAGATACTCATAGAAATTCAATCTAACCCAACCCCAAGGACAAAATCCGTCCGTGATCCCGCTCCAAGTTTCGGTTCCCCCCCTCATCTCTTCCCGAAATCGGTCTCAAGCCCAGGCACCATGGAACTCAAAATCTGATTGCTAAGTACTGTTATCCGCCCGGTAAGCAAATCATGGCAATGGCCACTGTCCGGTGGCTTGCATGACCAATCAAGCCACTATCATCACAGGAGCTGTTTCAACTTTCAAGAGAAATGGATAATCGTTCGGAGATGTTCTGCATAGGTAAGTACAGTACACAACCAAGAAACAGGAATAATACACTCGACTCGGGAACACTCCCTTGACCCTACGTTGTGCCCCCCCGGAGTAGAATAGGAGGCCGCGCAGTCGGACAGTGATCTCTAAGCTGACAAGGGAGATCACTGGTGGGTGCACTGATGATGATCGTGGGACATGCCTTTCTGGTATGCTGGTTTCTCCATACCCCATATACTACTGGATTTTGCTGTGGCCCGCGGGGAGAATTAAAGGTTAAAAAGGACGCCTTGACAAATTGTCCATGTCTATCAGCTTGCGATGCCTCTAATGGGCTCCTGACAGCACTTTCCTTCTCGAGAGTCAATAACATCTGATCTGCTACAGTGCTCCTACAGTTTGCGAGTCAGGCATCCCCTGCTTTGACTTTCGCAGCCTCCCACCTCTTGCCGTTCACACGCGGCCTTCGAGACTAGGGCCAGAGACTTTCAAATTCTATTTCATCCTCCCGTTCCCACTTTTGTCGGTCTTTTCACGAGTCACTGATCACTCCCACGATCTTGGATTGTGAGTAGGTTCGAGAAGAGACGAATCAAGCACCGAACTATCGCCTGAATCCCTGCTCTGCATCGGTGGGACCGGTGAACTGGCAGCAGGGATCCAATCAGGGAGGGATCCATTTCCATTTTTCTCCCCAGCGGTTCAGGCTGGTTCACCATGACCATGTCGTGCTCCCACACCAATGGTTCCGATTCCATTGAAAGTACAGTAGGCCTCTTCCGGGCAAGCCAGCGGGTAAGAGACATAGTTAATCGGGTACACCTCGCCGATGGCCGCCTATGATTGGGTTCCAGACTCCGATTTAATATACGATTGTGGGAACGTATCAACAATCCACTCTTCAGCTGAGGTGCAACTTGAACCCAGGCCCATTGCCGGTGGAGGCGGGCGCAATATATGATACGAGCTGAGAGGGGGGCTTTCCAGGCTGGGTTTTGTGAGTACTATCGATTTTGCCTAGACTAGGTGTTGCTATATTCAGTCTCCGTGGGTGGTGGGATGGATTAACCGATATCAGCCCGGTAGGGAGACCTCAAATGCAACAAGCAACACCAGAACAAGCCAGTACAATACTAACGTAGCTGCTGTACTGCAACCCATGGATCGTAATCTCATGATCTCGAATTACATCATCCGAGAGGCTTATTGTTTCTTCGATCCGTCAACCACGACCGGGGATGAGGCTGCCCCGCTACATATTGTACAAAAACACGACTGAAATTTGAGACCCTAACTTTCGACAGGACGGTTCAACACATCATTCCTCGCGCCTGCAATTGGTGCCTTTAAGCACTCTATCTTGAAATATCCGGCCGATTATCCAGGTCGCGGAACTTGACCATATACCCACCAGACCAGCACGCATGAGTTGGAAGCGGCTGCTACACCCGATAACATACCTATGCATCCACCTGGCACATGCATCCTCATCCCCAAAGCGCAACGACTAGACTCAGACACATGTAGCCACCAATCAAACAAGTAACCCCATAATTATATCTACGAGCATAAATAAACCCCCAGCTACCACCCCGCCAAGACCACCTTATCTCCATCCCAACTATAAATCCTTCCCTGCGTGCATTGACCTCGACAACCCTACACATCAGCACAGTACATGCAGCCCCAACCCTAAGCACAGGGCAGGTAGGCAGGTAGGCAGGGCAATAAACCACCGGACTAAGCCTCCATGGAGCTGGGGCTGATACAAGGCCATTCAAGTCTAGATGCAACCAACCAAGGCGCCCCCAACCCGGCCCCCAGACATGGATAAATGGACCCCAACGAACGAAACACCTCGTCCACCTCGAAACCTGTAACCAACATAACATGGATGTCTCCCCAATCCCGCAGCGGATAGGCCTTTCCCTGTCAATACAGTAGGCAGCCAGCAATCCATATACTGTATATGCATGATCGATCAACCAGCCAACCACGACATAATCCAGCACCATGATTTTTGGGGTAGGATCTAAGCGATACGTACAATAGCGCCGGAGGGAGGCTGTGATTCATCGCCTATGCATGTTTGCATGTACATGTACATGTACTGTGTACTCCGTACTCGCAGTGCATCTAGTGCAAGAATCCGGAAGGCCTTGATAGGTGATACCCATGCTAGTAACTAGCGTGGCAGGGATCAAGTCTCAGCGCCTGGAGTTTCGGATCGTATGATATGATGTGACTGGATGTGTCAAGATCCCCGCTGCAAACGTCATGCAGCGGTGCGTGCCCTGCAGTGCTTTCCTCCCATGCCCGATAGAGCAGATGCATATACCGGTAGTCACAACCCAACAACCCTCCCTTCACCACCATCACTAGATTTGCGCAACCAGATCTGACATCAGCGCATATGACTACCTCAAGCGGTACAGTACGCATAATATAGCCCATCCGTCTCAACCCCAACATTGACCCATCCATCCTCTTCCTATTTGCCCTTCGTATCAACCGGAGCGGATGTAGCACGGACTTCCCCGAAACTCCCGCCTCGCCCCATCTACTCAGCAGCCTGCATCCAGAGCCTCCCTTTTCCTCTCTTCCTCTTACGGTTCCCTACGGGGGTTACCTGTGGCGTAATCTGGGATCCTACTGTCTCGAATACCATCGAAAGTCTAGACCTCCGGGGTCACTATCTTCCATAGGTGTTTTGTACTCAGCATGAGTACACGGATCGAATGCTTCCGATTGGCGAAAGACTCAATCAGTGATCGACCGGGTCTAGCCCTGCATTCATCACATCGGCACCCTCATACTCCAAGTGTTTCAGTTTGATGGGATACTGTAGGGGAGGGGTGGACGTGTACGGTAGGGCACTGCATAAGTACCCATGAGTTATTACTGAGTGAGTATAGTGCTGATGTGTTATAGCCAGCGCCACAAAATATGCGTTTCGAAAAAATCTCTGAAGTGCGGCAGGGGTGGCGCGTTGGCCTCATTGCGTGGCAACTAAGATTGACCCTTTCAGGGGGTATATTCTGCTCGGATTATAGTTGCGATCTTGCCGGGATCAGGAGTTGTGCTTGCTGATTACTGGATGAGTGGTGTACTGCACACTGTACATCGCCGCTCGTCTACGAAGTCACACTCGTTGAGAAATGGAGATAGAAAATTTGGGATTCATAATCATTAACGATGCGGATAATCCCCGCTCGTAAGCTTTTGCGAAGTGCTTTTTATTCTTAGGCCATAGCAAATGAAATAGCAACAATTTTGAGCCCCTTGGGCATCTTTCGGCTCTTGGCCATCTTTTTTTTTGCTTTTATTGTTTTTTGTTTCCCTTCGTGGTTCTTCATGGACAGCGTATCATATTCATCGCGTCATGTAACTGTTCCAGTGGTCTAGAGCGTAGGCAAGCCCACTGGTGAAGAAGCTCAACTCGTCAGGCCCGATATTGACGACATCTGAGGCCAGTCTCTCTGAGAGGATATTCTCAAGCTTGGTCAAGAGCTTCTGGTTGATGCTCCCACTTGGCCCTGGGGAGCAGCCCTTGACGTGGCTGAGGTCAACAAGTTCGTTGAACTCCTCCTCGGCGACGATGTTGCGGAACACTCCGATAACGTGGTTGAGCGCGTTATCGATGTACGCACCAGTAGTGCCATCCTCGTCTAGATATGGCGTGTGTGCACGACCAGACTTGATATCGTCAACGCGGCTGCGAAGGCGAGATTTGTACTGTGGGTCGGTAAGCCCATTGATGCCATTCATGTAGGCGACGAAGAGACTCTTGTCCAAGTCAACAACATCATCGGGGTGCTCTTCCGGGAGCTGCTTCAAGGTTTCCAGGATCAGACTATCGTCGTCCTCGCAGTCATCAGGGTGATCTCCAGGACCTGTACCCTCTTGTAGCCGCAGGGTACCAGACGCTCGTGCCATCTCCATCAACTCGTGGCAAGTCAATCCGGCCTCAGGACTTTCATCATCGTCCTCTAGCTCTGGCGCTTCGATATAGCATATGTTCGCATCAAACTGAACATGAGCTCCGAACTCAATGAATGAGCCGTCTAGTGACGCGACATCGTCTTCCTCTCCATCCGATTGAGACATGATGTCAGAAGCTTCATCCCAATCTGAGATTTCACACATGTCATCATCCGACTCGTCAAAGCTATCATATCCGTATTCGGATTCCTCAGATGCGTAGCCAGACTCTGCCTCTTCGTCGTCTTCTTCAATTTCTGAATATGGTCTTTTCAGGATCGGCTTCAAGATCGACTGAAGAGGCGCCGCTACCGCGGTGACCAAAGATGGAGCGTCAGGAGTGTGGACGGCAGTGGTAGGTTTTGCAGGGGCGGAGTATTCATCAGAGGCATAGCAGCTGTCATGGGAGATGGAAATTTCCAGCTGGGAGAATGTCGATGACAGGGACTCCCACGACTTCCTGTTCATGTTTTGGCTGCTCATGGCGATGCGATGAGTGTCCAGATGCTGGCCGGCCTCCCCGGATTTTCCGCGCCGGTAGCTCAAAGGACTGGTTTGTCCTGTGACAATGAGATGTAAACGTACAAGGTTTAAATCCCACCCGTACCTGTCTTGGCGACTGGCGACTGGGAACAGAGATGTTGCTTTATAAGATGTGAACAAAGAAAGTTTTTTTCACGTTCAAACCGTGGCTTCCAAGGCCCCCAATGGTTTTGAAGGAGTCCATCGTGAAGCACAAAAACTGGGTGAAGATTTTCACCTAGTGAGAGCCGGCAAGGCCCTGAACAAAGATAACGTTGATAGACATGTTGGTTTTCAATTAGTTCGCTTCAAAATTCAATGTTGGTGAAGGTTGTGACACATGCACGCGCAGTCGTTCCGATTGTATGCAGTCAGATGACAGTATTTCAGTCCGCCTTCCTTCAAAATGCGATCGTTTTTGATGGATGATTTCGAGTGATACATATAGACTGTAAGACTGTAGACCACTCTGAGGCGACTAGGTCAAAGACGCAGTATGTGACGAAGGATCAAACACTGCGACGCGTGGTGCCTGAACGTACTCCTCAGTATCGAGGGTGAGCAATGAAGATCTTGACGGTAGGTGAAATGCCTAGGGAGCGGCAGATCGATTCTCGGTGAGGGGCAGGGACCGATGAACGACGCGCAGGCGCTAGAATCTTATGCCCACTTTTCGTTGGGGAGTGGTTGGTGATGGTGAAGCGGGGGCAAAGGGCGAGGAAGCGAGGGGTAATGAGCAAAACCCGTCGGCAGTTCTCGCAGACAATATCTTTTTAAACAGGCATATGCAGCTCGACGTAGTTTCAAGTCGAGAAGAGTCTGGAAAAGATGAGAAATGGCACCGGATGACAGTGCTTGGGCAGAGGAAAGGGATTAGAAACAAGGCGAACCTCGACTGTCAGATTTCCGTCATCACCGGGCACCTGACTTGGGCTTTGTTGCCTCTCCTTCCGGCCTGCTCGTCGGGCCGGTTTCGGAAGTCCCCGGAATGGCTTAGTGTACAGGGATTGCACTCGCGATTCTGTCGGGTGGTCGTCATCCTGAGTCAGCACGGCAAATCTCATTCCCGAACCGCAGTACTCAAACCTACCCCAGATTCACAAAAGATTTATGTCATGACTGAGTCAGCGGACATAGCAGCACGTGACTCGCTTGTCCTGGCTTAGGGTTGGGCGAGGCGCACAACAACCAGTCGGGCGGGCACGCTAGTTAGGGCTCAGGCGGGCACGCTGTCTCCTCCATCCTCGAAACAGTTGCTGTGCATTTTTACTTCCCAGCCCAGAGTCAAGGACAATTGCTCCGCCCGCGTTCATCCCTCTCTCCTCATCGTCACCCAGACTCCAACATGGCTGAGCAACTGGTCCTCCGCGGCACCCTCGAGGGTCACAATGGCTGGGTTACCTCCCTGGCTACCTCCCTGGAGAAGTAAGGGCACACCAAACACACATACCGAAAAATTACCACACAACCCCAATCGAAGTGCGATTTTTGTTTGCGAATCTGCGAGGAATGGTGCAGGGCGATGGAACAATTCTATATATGCTGCGCCCCCCAAAAAGCCAAAATAAGAAGAACGGATGTTTGGAGTGGTATATATAGGTTGTTTGATTGTCTGCAGCAGGAATCATGAAATGATGGCAACAAAATCGCACTAGGTTGAGAAAAAAATGATAGTTGATATGGACAACATGAGTTCTGACATTTTCTTGTTCTTGTGACTTCTAGCCCCAACATGCTGCTCTCCGCCAGTCGCGACAAGACCCTGATCATCTGGAACCTTACTCGCGATGAGCAGGCCTACGGTTACCCCAAGCGCAGCCTTGAGGGCCACTCTCACATCGTCTCTGACTGTGTATGCTACCGATCTCCGTTCCATTCTCCAACCACCCGTGTTCAACCCGAGGGCCAAGCGACTGCCACTCAAGGCTGTTCGAGATTAGGGAAAGGGCCAAGAAAGAAGGAAAGAAGGAATGATGGGCTGACCGTGTGCGGGCTTCGTTTGTATAGGTGATCTCCTCCGACGGTGCCTACGCTCTGTCCTCCTCCTGGGACAAGACCCTCCGCCTGTGGGAGCTCTCCACTGGTGAGACCACCCGCAAGTTCGTCGGCCACACCAACGACGTCCTCTCCGTCTCCTTCTCTGCCGACAACCGCCAGATTGTCTCCGCTTCCCGTGACCGCTCCATCAAGCTCTGGAACACCCTCGGTGACTGCAAGTTCACCATCACCGACAAGGGTCACTCCGAGTGGGTCTCTTGCGTTCGCTTCAGCCCCAACCCCCAGAACCCCGTCATCGTCTCCGCCGGTTGGGACAAGCTCGTCAAGGTACGTTCCATTGTTCGGGTTGCGTCGGTTATTTTCTCTTCGATTCGTCCAGAGGATGTTTGCATATCTACGTATTTGCTACTTCAGAGCCTTCTGGCCATGAGACAAACAATCACCCAATGCCTGATGGACAATCGACATGTATTTGCTTTTCTGTGCTTGCGAGAATGGTGGAATTTGAAATTCGGATCCAGCCAATGTTTGGTTTTCTACTTCCAGAAACTAACCCGAAATTGTTAAATAGGTTTGGGAGCTCGCTTCCTGCCGTCTCCAGACCGACCACATCGGTCACACCGGTTACATCAACACCGTTACCATCTCCCCCGATGGATCCCTCTGCGCCTCCGGTGGCAAGGACGGTACCACCATGCTCTGGGATCTCAACGAGTCCAAGCACCTCTACTCCCTCCAGGCCGGTGACGAGATCCACGCCCTCGTCTTCTCCCCCAACCGCTACTGGCTGTGCGCTGCTACCGCCAGCAGCATCACCATCTTCGACCTCGAGAAGAAGAGCAAGGTTGACGAGCTCAAGCCCGAGTTCATCGAGAAAGGCAAGAAGAGCCGCGAGCCCGAGTGCATCAGCTTGGCCTGGAGCGCTGATGGCCAGACTCTGTTCGCTGGTTACACTGACAACAAGATCCGTGCCTGGGGTGTCATGTCGCGGGCATAAATGTGCTCCACCCACCTTTTTAAAGCTTAATTAGGATCTTGGCGGGGCGGAAAAGTGTGAGAGGAGAGAGAGAGAGACAATATCAACTTGAACTCATGTTTGTTATTTTTTTTCTTTTTTTTTTTTCCCAAGATCAAAAATAAAAAAGGGCAGGCATTGGTTTGGGATGTATGAGCCATGAGCAAATGATAAAAAAAGCACTCTGGGTTTTTCTTTCCGCCTGGTGTTTCTAACTCTCACTCACCCACCCAACTCACCCTACCCTTCACCTCCCCGATTATCCCCCTCTATACCCATCCCGTTCATTCGGGCTTCTTTCCCCGGGTTATCATTTCTCTCTCTTCAGCATGTCTACCTCTTACGCAATTCGTGGCTCTCAAAATCCCGATGAATTGTCTGGGGGATCTTCTGAAGTATGAGATGTGGATTGTTCGAATACCATTCAAAAGACGTTAAAAACTTATATCTCTGCCCCCTTTCCCCGGAGCCTGATGTAATTGGTGTCGTAGTGTTCTAGACTTCATGTATAAGTTCGTACTCTCTCGATGAAGTCATAGTCCTGTCAGTTAGAGCAATACTTCAAGTCCTGCAGTAGACTTCGGCCTACTGTCTAGATCGTCCGCACGCCTATTTCGAGCACCACTACGCACTTACTAGATCTACACGGGCTTCCGAAAGAGGAAGCGGCAGAAGGAACATGGAGATCGGGGCGGTCAGAACAACCTCCCCTCGTTCGCCAGGCTTCGTAGGATTATTACCTTCGAGACATTCTTTACGTTTGTTAGATGCACATGCACCGGGTCAAGACCACCAGAGTCGAATAATGTACATTTTGTGGGAGATGTGTATGCAAGGCCACGGTTAACCCAGCCTAGCTAGCGTTAGCTGATGACGAGGTCCTTCATTGCGCCTTGATCTCTTTCAGCGCCGCCTTGACCCCCTCCACCAAGCCGGGCTCCTCCAGGCGCTGCGCGATGCTCAGGGCGTCTCGGTAATGCTTCCTGGCGACGTCCGGCTTGTTCTCCAGCCGAGCCAGCTCGCCGAGACTCTGCAGCGCGGCCACGCAGGCCTCGTTACATTCCGCCTCCTGGCCCTGGGGGTCAATCTTGGCCGCGACGTCGCGGGCCTTGTCGAGCCACTGGCGGGCCTGCGCGATCACCTGCTCGCGCGGGGCCCGCATCCCGGCAATCGGCTTCGGCGCCGCGGCGATCTCGCCCATGGTGGCGCCGATCGAGGACATGAGGAACGGTTGCTTGCACGTCGGGGCGTCGCCCTCCGCGGCCTTCATCACGTCGCTGGCCCGGATGAACAGCGGCAGGCAGAGATCGTACTTGCCCTGGGTGAAGTACAGGTCGGCCAGATCCTTGAGGGCGACGGCGATCTCCTCGAGGTTCATCCAGCCATCGTCCTCCTCGCTAGCTTCGGCGGTGGTGGCTGGTGCCTTCGTCTGGTTCCCCACGGGGAGGCCCAGGGCCACCCGACGGTTCATCTCGGTCAGGCAGAGCTCCACGGCTTGCCGCTGGTTCTCCTCCGCCTTCTCGAGATCCTGCATGTAGTCGCTCTCGTAGAGCTCGGCCAGCTTCATCGACATGCCGACGCACTTCTTGAGCACCTTGCTCTGCTGGCGGTCCTCCCACGCCTGAAACTCGGCCTCCTTGGCTGGGTCCGGGGTATTTTCGGGTTGCTCGTCGGACGAGGCTCCGACGGCCTCTCCGGTCGCCTGGCGGATGCGCTTCTCCACGGCTTCCTTGCTGGTGTCGTTGGGATCCACGGGCGTGGTCACCGTCGGCTTCTGCGGGAGCGAACGGGACCGCCGCGTGCGATACACCCAGGCCAGCGCCCCGGCCCGCGTCTGCTCCAGCACCTTCACCGCCGCCGAGACCAAGCCGGCCTTCTCCAGCATATGCGACACCTGCAGGTGGACTCCAAGGACTTCGTCCGAGTACTGGTGCAGCCCCATCTCGAGCCCGATGTGGATCGCGTCCTTGTACGCCGCCATCGCCTTCTGCGGCTGCAGGTCCACGTCCGTGTAGTAGACCGCCGTGCGCAGCCGCTCCGCCATCGGCGGCGGGAACTTGGTGTACTGCGGTGCGACCTGCGTCACCTCGACGTAGGCGATGTAGGCGAACAGGCAGGTGGCGCTGAAGACGGAGAGGAGGGCCAAGGGGAGCACGATCGGGTTCTTGCGCCAGATGTCCTTGCGGGCTTTGCGGAAGCCGAGCTTCCATTTTTGGGCCGTGGTGAGCGTGCGCCGGCTTGCTTGGGTGGTGGTGAAATTTGTGAAATGCGAGAAGAGGGGGGTCGTCGTGGCTGGGAGGCGCGGTTGGGAGGCGATGCGTGTCGTTGAAAAGGGATGGCGAGCATTCTGGGGTGTGAGGGTTCGGATTCGGGGGAGGGCGCTGGTGGCGCGCCGGGAGAGCGTGCTGAGCATTGTTGCGGTTTGTCTTCAATATCTGTGTGGGTGTTGATATCAGAAGAGTATTTTTGATAAGATGCGTCAAGGTTCGTCTCCTCAATTGATGATATTCGGGGAGAGGAAGCGTGGATGTGAAGAAGAGGGGATAAGTGAGTGTATGGAGGCAAGATTGCAAAGACGACAAGCAGCGGAGCGGAGGTTGTCGGCGGGACGATTTTGTACGGCCTAAAGCGGAATGGTCCGAGCTTCTCCTCCGCCGCCCTGCGCTGAATGACATGACGTCGGATATACCCTCTGTCAAGGTAGTCTCTCCATCTGCATTCATCGCATGATCTTTGATCTTAAATCTACTTGAGCGTCAGAACTACCAAAGGCATAATGTGTGGACGATACGCACTAGGCGTGGTACGTAACCCCAACACATCTATTTCACCCCCACCCCGCACTCCTCCCCCATATATACATTTATAGTCCCGAGTGAATCAGTATTCAGTCCACAATGAGCTAACCACAGCACAACCCCCACACGAAAAGCGCATGAACTTCGTCCAACGCCGTCTCCAAGAACAGGGCATGCCCGTCGACGAAGTCCCAGACGACGACGAAGTCCGCGAAACCTATAACTTCGCGCCGGGGAACAATGGGGCCGTGTACCGCGTGGAGGAAGCACCCACTGGCGCAGTGAGGCACGAGCACCGACACCAGCAGCAGCATCAGCCACCCGAGCACGACGACAACGAGACCCCTACTCACCCCCAACAAGACCCTAGCGCCACCACCCAATCGTCAGGTAATGAGAACGTCAGCAACCGCCCCCGCTACAAAATTCAAAGCATGCGATGGGGCCTGATCCCGTTCTGGACGAAGCGCAAACCCGACTACGGCTCGCTGATGCGCACGATCAACTGCCGGGACGACTCGCTGCTCGAGGACCGCGGGATGTGGACGTCGATGAAGCGCCAGAAGCGCTGCGTCGTCGTCTGCCAGGGGTTCTTTGAGTGGTTGAAACGGGGCCCGGGCGGGAAGGAGAAGGTCCCGCATTTTGTGCGCCGAGGGGATGGGGATTTGATGTGTTTTGCCGGGTTGTGGGATTGTGTGAGGTATGAAGGTGAGTTTTTTTTTTTTTTTTTGTTTGTCAACCCCCCCCCCCCCCCCGGCTTTTGAGGGGCGGGGGGAGGTTGTGATCCGTACGTGGGGTTGCAAGCTGATGGGATGAGGGCATAGGGTCGGATGAAGAGCTCTATACGTTTACGATCATTACGACATCCTCGAATCCGTATCTTAAGTTTCTGCATGATCGGATGCCTGTGATTCTCGAGCCTAATAGCGAGGAGATGAACCGGTGGCTGGATCCGGGCCGGACTACGTGGTCCAAGGAACTGCAGGCCATGTTGAAGCCGTACGAGGGCGAGTTGGAGTGTTATCAGGTGCCGAAGGAGGTGGGGAAGGTGGGCAACAACTCCCCGGACTTCATTGTGCCGGTGAACAGTAAGGAGAATAAGAGCAATATCGCCAATTTCTTCGCCAATGCCAAAAACGCTGCGCCGGAGAGTGGTCGTGGTTCGTTGAAAGAAGAACCGGACGACAAGACCGTCAAGGATGAACCTGACGATCGAGACACGGTGGACACCGAGTGGACTGAGGACAATGCGCCGCTGCCGGCTACGGGGGTCAAACGGGAGCATCCGGCAGAGAGTCCTGCGGAGGTCGAGGATGAAGTTGCGAAGAGGCAGAAGACTCAGCCTAGCCTGGCAGCCTCGCCGGTTAGGGGCACCGAGCAGAAAACGAGTCCAACGCAAGCACCGAGTCGAGGAAAGCAGATGCGAAGTGCAACTCACAATCAGAAACCGGCCAAAAAGCCCCAGCAGAAGAAAGCGGCGGCAGGGACTCAGCCCATAACGAATTTCTTTCAAAAGTGAAGTTGATTTTCTCATCTGGCTTGGCGGCGAAGTATATTTTTGGCGTTGCTTTGGTCGTCTGCAATTAAGAGCTGGTCTCTGAGCGGCGTTGTTCCATTTTTATTTGGGGGGAATATTTTACAGGTTGTGTCAACTGTCCAGCAGTTTTGGATCAGTGCAGTCTTTTAAGACGGCATTGAGGACAGCATGAGTCTATTGTACATGGTCACTACCGACGGAGACTGATCCCGTCTCCTGCTGGCGCAGCTTTTGCACCAGCTTTTCTCGCAGAAATGGGCTCAGCCCCAGACTGTTATACTCTGGTTAGTGTTGGGTCCAAAATGACGGTGCTTGCATGACTTACATTCCATCCCGAGTCACAACGCGATACGTCCCTGTCGGTTGCGTCAGCTTGGGTCGGTGAAGAGCTTTTCGTGTATCGGAGTACATACCGCTCGACTGGTAGTTACCGTTCCCACCCACGAAGTTTCCTTCCCCGTCGACTTCCAAGCTCCCGAAGATATCTTCCGGCCTATATTCACTCGATCAGTCGTTGGTTTACACCACAAGCCGGACACCATCCATACCAAGCGATACGGCCATACTCAGGTGGCCGTCGGTTGTCCGAAAGATGAATCCAACCACCTCTCCCAGCCGAGCCAGCGCCGCCTTGACCACTGGCTCCGCCGCTGGAATCGCCCTCGCTGCGGCGTTTCCTCGTACGTCCCCCAGTCAAAAGCACCCCGCCGGTGCTCAGATTAGCTCCTGACGTAGACACCATGACCTGTGCTTGCGATATAGCGTCGGGATCTTTGTGGCCATGCTCAGTCATGACATCTTGCAAAGTTTCCAGGAACTTAGGGTTCTCTTTGAATGAGTCTGGCGTCGGAGGTAGTTTGGATGAGACACCGATGGCCAGGTCGGGATTGGTTGGCTCAGAAGGGAGCAAGGACAGTATGTTGGTGCCATTCTTGGGAAACACGTACTATGAAAGATTGTGAGCATAAAAGGGGCACAAGAGAAGCAAAATGGCTTCTACTAAAGTTCGCGACGCTGCGCTAATGGCTTGAAGGATACACTTACTATGTGAGGATTGCCTTCCAAGGTCGACACAGAGCGAATCTGTGCCCACCGGGGCATTTGGCGCACTGAATTCCTGAGAGAGAACATGCTGGGGGAAGAAAAAGAATCAAAAATTAATGATCCTGGTGGTATCTTCGGACACTGAGTCGAAACAATAAATGGAGCGCAAGCTTGAACCGATGACGATTGTAGAGCAAACCAGACAAACTCATGTGATTGCGCGTTTTCGGGCGGGCTGGAAGCAGCTCCGCCCGCATTGAATGAATGACCTTCTTCCATGTCCTTGTCAACTTAGCGGTTCCGTGGGGGGTTTTCCTTCCTCTCTCTCTCTCTTTCCTTGCTTCTCAATTGATGTTCAGTGTTTGTCGAGTCCTTTCCTTGCAAATATCATCTGAGTGGTTGTAAAAGCTCGTTGTTTCTTTTCGTTACCAGCTGCATTCCTGCGTAAAGAACGATTTGAGTCCGTATGGCTCTATCTTAGCAAGTGTGGTTCTATTCTCTTATTGTGATACCTGGGTCCAAGTTTCGCACCTCTCAGCCTGCCTCCTTCTCTTCTTGATCGCATAAAGTGCAGACTACGATTTCTACTACGGCCTTGCCTACACAAAGAGAGCCCGTCATGGCGACGCCATCGTCCAAGCCGAACCCAGGAGCAACACCGACTTACCTGACTTCCTCGCCTCACCCAGCTGGCGCGCACCCAGCCCGCCCCATCGCGCACAAGTCACCCGCAGGGAGAACCCCCTCGGTCTCCGGACCGGGCGGTCACATCCAGCCCCCCAGCAGCAGCAACCCCGCCAACGCCTCGGCGCACCACTATGCCACGCCTCTCGCGGCGACGGCCGGGGCCGATGACCCCGTCACACTGAGCTCGCCGTCGGCTCTGCTGGCGCTTGGCGGCTACAGCGGGATCAGCCCGTCGCCGGCCGGCCACGACGGCGGCCTGGTGGGCGCGGGGATGAACGACAGCGACATCCAGGCGCTGGGCATGCCGGGCCTGAAACTGGGCGGCGGTGGCGGCGTGCGGGACAACGACGAGGAGCGGAAGAGACACATTGAGGATGTGGTGCAGCTTTTGCGGACGCGCATCGCGGGCCGCGGGGTCTGCCGCGAGGGCATTGAGCGCTTGGGCCAGCTCGAGGGGTTCGAGTCGATCTGGCAGGAGGACAGCCTCAGCATCGCCGGCAACTTTGTGGACCTCGAGATCGAGTTCCACCGCGGCCACAATGTCGTCAAGGAGGTCAGTCTGAGCTACGTGACGCCCGAGTCGACGGACGGGGAGCAGCGCGAGGAGGCGACGGCCGTGCTGAAGCGCGACCTGATCCAGTCCCCCGCGGACGGCGAGCGGGGCGCGTGGAAGCCGCTGACCGGGTTCCATGAGAACCTGCAGTGGCTGGCGCGCCACGATAGACTCAGCCAGGAGGTCAACTGCTTTGAGGCGATCGAGGGCTTGTATGAGAGCCTGAAGCGCGTGTGGGAGGCGGAGTGGGATCAGCGCAAGTTCTTGGGCGTCTACGACCACCTATGCAGCGGCTGGGTCGGTCGGCCGTCTCTGCACAAGGGGGGTCGCGTGGGGCTCGGCCTCGATTACTGGGTGCAGCAAGCGCGGGTCCTAGATGCGAAGCAAGCGAAGCAGAAGTCCGCCTCCTCCGACGAGATGGCCGTCGATCAGCCGGCGGAGGAGGACGAGGCCGGGCGAAAGGGCAAGTGGAGCGTTGTGGTTGAGTGCGAGGAGGGATATCCGTCTCTTCGCGTGTCGAAAGACTGGGTTGCCGCGGAAGTTCTGACGAAAGTCCACAATGGCGAGAATGGTCCCTCCTCGAGTGAGTCAGCCGAGTCTTCTGAGGGAGTTGTGGTCAATTGGGCCGAGCCCCCCGAAACCGTGATTGCGGCCGCGCAAGGGCACTCGGACGCCATGGCGCTCGACTCGAACATGCTGGGCTCTTCTGCGCCCAACCGCCGGTTTGTAGCTAGGATGGAACCCCCGCTGGATCTACCAATCTTGGCCGCGTCAGATATCTACCGTCATCTCGGCATGCAGTTGCCCCCTGAATTCAAGATGGTCACATACGATGGGCTGTTGGCTCCTGGCTGGTCGCCATTATCGGCGGCCGGTGCGATGGGACTGGGACCGGAAGAAGCATCGCAGCTTGGGCGCAGAAGCCGTAGGCTATCGTTGCAGACCATTGACAAAGATGGCAAGCCGTGCAAGAAGCAGCATTGCTACACGTTCCAGCCATTTGAATCTGTCGCAGGTCGGACCCTGCGAGACATTCCGTTCTCGCACCCAAGACAGCTTGCAGACATACTTCCGGTACGGATCCTCTGTTCTAATGTGCCTATCACGTGGGTATACTAATTCTTTAATCTTTAGATCTTACGACAGTACGCGTTTCTGGCGAATCTGATCCGTGGCATCTTCACGACCACGACCAAACCCGACAACGACAAACTCAATGCACAGGAAGATCTGCTCAAAGGGTTCTTCAATCTCTCGAATGCGAACAAATCGCAGACGATAACCAAGGGTGACATCATTATTCTCAGCAATGACGATCCCAACGAGAGGAGGTTAAATTCATTGCTTGGAGGCTTTGGACAAGCTGGAGGCTTTGGACAAGCTGGAGGCTTTGGACAAGCAGGTGCCCATACTATAGGCAAGGGGAAAGGTGCTATGGACGGAAGATCTGACGATGATTCGACCACCGAAGATGACGTCAAAGTAGACGTGACCTTGCGTACGCAGCTCGGTCAAGCCCCGGTCATCATGCTTCTGTTTACTGTGGACAACCTTGAAGGAAAATCGACACTGGACCAAGAATATTCTGCGCTGAGCAAAGTCTCTGTCAGCCTCGAAGTTGGACTCAACGGTCGCGTGTCCGTCATCGACATGACTGGTTTGTTTGACGATGAGAACACCAGTATGGACCAGATGGACACTCAAGCAAGCGGAGGCCATGACAATGAGATATCTGAGTTGCAGAAGACCATCGCGAGGGTGTTAGAAGTCTCGCAAGACCTGGGGATTCTGGTAGAGTGGGTATTACGATGGGCCCGGCAGCGCAAGAGCCGCTGATAGCTTGACCCCCCAGACCGGGGTAGGTCACGGATATGCTGCAACCGCGGTGTGTGGGGAAGAGTCGTCTTCAGATAGTGACTTGTCGATTGGCAATCGGACGAGGCGGTGACGTAATAGGGATGGCCATGCGTTACCTGTCCTATCTCTCTCTTTCTTTGTGCATGGAGGCTTGAACAAGCTTTGCTGGCCATTCTGGAAGCAGAATCTCCGCCGTTTGCTCGAATTCAGTCCCAATGCAGTGTCTGCATGGGGCGAACGGGGACCGCCAGATCCCAATTTGGCGACTCTGATCTGCATGGGACTGGGACTCGTCTGGTGCTATCTGGGCCTAGCCGGATGTGGAAGAGACGATGCTCAGCTCAGACTCCCGAGTCTGCCCCAGTGGTTCCATGTGAGATCACAGAGCTGCGTCACGTCATGTGCCATGAGATCGTGCAGCGTGGGGATTGCTCCCTCGGCCCCAGGGGCCTTGGACCAGCCGAGGACCAGGGGGATACGAGCGTCTCGAGCCGAACGATACCACGATCGATATTTGCAAAATGGGCCGTCCGCTCCGGCGGAACATGATTGATTCCTGGGCCATTGTACCTGCAGGACGTCGCTAGCTCTGCCTCTAATATAAGACAGGATCTTACTTCCCATGGTACTGTACTACATACTTTATAAGTTAATACCTACATCCTATGTAAGCTGGCATATACCCATCGAATCCAGGCACGCGCCACAAGTGTTAGAAACAATCCAGTAAAAAGCCCGAAAAACCGGCCGTAACCGAACGGGGGCTCCCCAACTTCTGGGAAGGATTGAAGAAGACCCTGAGTCGGAGGTTCCGCCCCTTGGAAAGGCGGCAAGACCAAAGAACGGGGCTGGCTGTAGGCTGGCTGTAGGCTGGCTGTACGGAGTACGGAGTCAGGCCAGGAACCCAGCAGGCTGATCGGATACCTCGCATTGTACGGAGTACTTCGTATTTCCACGAAAGTTCCGTAGAGAACTCATCTGCCAGAGGTCGATCAGTTGGACGGAGTACTCTGCAGATCAAGCCAACACTCTCCCGTCAGTTATAGTGTACGAACTCACGGAGTAGTATGAGGGATTTTCCCCCGTTGTTCCCGCCCATCATTCCTCTTCTTCCCCGGACATTTACACCTTCCCCAGCGAGACGCAAGGGGAGAGATGGAAATGGACGTGGAAAATGCAAGAGAATAGGTTTGAATTCAGCGGAGCACTGCTTGCAAATTTGGTGTTCTTCTGGGTTGGAGGTGTTGGTTGGTTCGCCGCCGGGGCTTTTTTTCCCGCGCGCAAAAACACTACCTACTAGGAGAAAGCATGAGCTGTCAAACGATTCTTTCCCTTTTCCCTGTTCCCCCAAATTCAATTTTTCCAATGGGACATCGCGAAGAATGCGGGAATTATTCATTCTGTTGTGCTCTATAACTGAGTTTTCTTTTTGATTTTTTTTTGATGCGGATCAACTGCGCGAATTACTCTCCTTGACTTTTGTCTGTAGGGGAGTGTCCATTCCTGCACCGTCAAGTAGTCTAATGAGTCTAACGAGTCTAAATGGGGGTGTATGTACAGTACAGCTGCCTAACTATGGAGCTTTTTTGTTCGGTTGTTTTGGCCTGAAATTTTTGGATACTCGGCTTAGCCAACATACGCTATTTAGCTCTATAGGGAGAGGTATTTTTGCAATTGAAACTGAAACTGAATCCATCCCTGAGGGAGTAAGGCTGCTTCCTGTTCTTGTGTTTCGGTTTTGGTTTGGTGTTTTACTTTTGTATATCTGATGAATTTGGGGATTGGGAGGCTACTCGGCTTGCTTAGATCGATTCTTCAGACATAAGCTCGGTGGGAGTCTCCGTAGTCATCTAATGAATATCTAGAGTATTATAATAACACAGTATGCGCGTATAACAAATCCGAGATAACCATCTCCCAAACAGTGCGCGGTCATGGACGCCATTGCTATAGTTCAATCGCTCGCCCGCTTGCTTGCTCGCGATTCGCGTCGGATGAATGAGTCACCAACCCCTCCCTCCCAAAGGAACCAGAAAAAAAAAATCTAATGCTGAGGACAAGCAAATCGGCACAGAAGCAGATCGTTCCTGTTCCTGTGCCTGTTCCTGTTCCTATCTACGGTCTTCAATCCGGATAAAAGTGGGGAGGGGAGGGACAGGGAATATGGGCTGGTCGATCAGAATGGGAGCTGTCATTTCGTTAGTTTGATGTACAGTACTGTACTGTGTGATGTACACTCACCACACAGTACTTCGAGTCAGGCCACGGGGGTTTTGTGCTGGTATCTTAGGAGAGGTAAAAGATGTGGCTGGGGTGGAGGATGAAGATATTCAGCTTTACAGGAACTGAGATTGGGCGGGTTGAAGGGTTGTTGGGTTGTTGAGGTGAGGATAGGATAGGATAGGATATAGATCTCCGACGCGTCTCTCAGATGGAGTACAGTGAGAGCATTGAAAATTATACCGATGTACTGAGTAAGTTTCAACCGGCAGCGTCGCAGCTTACCACTCTCTATTATGCATGTCATCCCACACCCGCTATACAGTCGGACATCTAGAACCTCGACCGACCGCTCTCTACCTACCCAACTAACCTTCCTTCAATCACCACCATCGCGTCTCGTATGCGTTCAGCGATTTTGCAAATTCTCCCATCACACAAAAATGGTAAACCTGACCAACTGCAATATACTTAGTCCAGTCCCGAAGAAGTACTAAACTATACTAATTCCTTCCACTATCAAAGGGATATCAGGTGTTCTTTCTCCCCCCTCAGGGATCCATACTGAGATCCACCCGCCAAATTAGTCCTTACCCGACGGCCGGCCCGGCCATCGCACAATCAACCATCTGTAGCTCCTATCAACTTCTGCTGTACCCGCCACACGGGCTCGATTGTCTTCAGCCAAATTCGCCGAGGTTCCTCTCCCTCGCGAGCATGGAGCGAGCGCAATTCTATACTTCCTGAACCCCAAGTCCAGAAACCTTCCTCCCCTCTAACTACACAGGCTGAAATCGGCCCGACACCAGTCAGCAGCGTTTGTCATGGCCCGGGGCAGGGAGCCAATCGGCAATGGACGATAAGAGGAGACAGGCAGCGGAGAAGGTGATTGATCAGGAGGCGGGGATCTACAGCTGGTCCCATGGCTGTGGCCATGTTTCCGATAAGCTGATTGTCTGTGGCTTTGGGCCGGTGAGGGATTATTTCCCCATTTGTTTCCAGATGCTGCACTCGTCGCTTGAAAGGGCGCATCTCCACGACTCCACCCTGTGCGAAAATTGACGCCATGGCTCGATAATCGGGGATGATTCGTGCCTGACCGCGACGACTGCTCTTTTTTGTTGGCAGTCAAATTTGCAATCCTGGATGTTGTTGTTGGATCGTTTCATTCATCACAAGAGTAATGTAATGAATGGAATCAAAAATATTCCTCCTCCGGTCCGAGTTGAGACAGGAATGGTGTAACCGTGTACGGAGTACGAAGTACTGCTCAGCCTCAGGTTTCTTGAGCCTGCGCCACAATCAGGAGTCACAATTTGAAACCACTGCCCATCTATTCCTGGCCTTGACCGCCTCCGCAGACGATACGGAAGCCTGTTTATAGAAACATTGTCTCGCCGTAGGCGCTGCGACTATTGCCGCGATTGCGTGGAATTAAGCTATGATGCTTGGACGAGTTTCCCATGACATCTGAGCGATCAGAAGGACGAGGCTCTCTCGTCGGGTGGAGGCCTGAAAGAACCTTGACGACATCCACAGGGCTGATCGAGGAGAACAGGAAAGGCAGCCACTCATTCTTGCCCGGATTCCTGAATCTCCCGGCTTAGCCCTGTTACCATTTGTCGCAGAATACCCGGGGAAGGGCAAGCCATAATGATGACGATGATGCTGCGGGAGCCCCTCCCTTTGATCGGACACTAAGACACTTGATGAGGGTCGCCACTGCACTCACCTTGAGGCTTGAGAGAAGCAAAAGTCTGGGGGATAGACAGGGTAGCTGGATGGATAAGGGCTTCTTCCCTCCGGAACCACCCATCTGCCAGTCACCAAAGAACTCTTCTCTTCTCCCCTGCGCAGTCACCCCGTTCACCCCGTTCACCCGTCCATTCTTCCCTTCCCCCCTTTGACTTTACCCCCGTTGCCGGTGCAAGGAACCTTTTCCCCCTTTTCTTCGCCGTCTTGCACCCAAGGCGGTGGCAGGGAACGGCTGGGACTCGGCTGATTGTTCATATTAGTCACCCGAACCCAGAAATAACTGCCGTTAACATGGAAACATGGCCGGTCTCGGGGGTGACGACGGTGATGGTGACGCTTTCTTCGAGAATGGGTTTGCCACGCCCCACCGGACGCAAAAACTGGGTTGCCCGCGTGGTATTCGAATTACCGGCTGCCTGTATGGACTATGGAGGACGGACAGGCAATGCATTCCCCGGGGTAATAGCTGTCAACGAGGATAGGTAGACATTCAATCCTCAATTCTCTCCCCAAAGTTTTTCCACCACCGTGTATGGGGTGGGAGATTGGATCCGATCTGTGCGCGCTGCTCCCGACACGCTACACGGAAAAATCGAGAATTGACGCGGTCGAATTCCATCCATGCGCGATTAAAATGAAAACTCTTTTTTTCCCCCGTTCAGTCCGGCAGGCGCGCCAGGATCCACCCACGCGACTCATGGCGGGGTTTCGAGGGGCAGTCAGCGATAAGACATCCTCTCAATTTAGATAACCGCAAGGTGCAGTTTGACCAGTACGTATTGGGGTATCTGGTGCGGCGGTAACATCCTGGTACGGATTCCTGTGATATCAAAAGCGCCGCCTCGGTTGTTTTTCTTTGGTAGATTGGAGAAGAGCAAGGGATCAGTTTAATCCCAACTCCTCGATGGCAATATGGTCTGACTCCAGCCACATGTGTCCTTTGCGATAAGGCAACGGAAGATAGGATGCGGCAGCCTGAGTGCCTCTCAGGTGCTTCCTATCAAGTATCAACTCTATCCTATCCATGCCATGGCGCTCTGCCAATAAAAACCCCGGTCATTGCGATTAGGCGCAGGTCACGTCCGAGCTATTCGGGTCCTGCAGCTGATATGCATGGGGACTGACGTCTGCTTGATATTGATAATAGGTTTTAGCAACCATTTCGTGTTGCTATCTCTCAGCCACCAGGGATAGGAAGGTCAGCAAAAAGAAGGCAGACGAAGAGTTGGCTCGGTATGTCACGGTCTTGATGATGGAGGGGGAGGGAAAGGAAGTCAAGAAATACTGGTGGTCAGCCGACATGGAAAGAGGTGCGGCCTGCCAATTATCAGCCCTGATAGTACTTTCGTTGCTTCTGTGCTTCCTGTCTGTCTGATAGGGATAGATGGATCCAGGTCTGAACCCAGATCACCGTCGCGTGGGGGGCCCAGCATCGAAGATGATCCATCTGGGGAAGTCCAACCGCTTCCGGCCTGACCTGGGTTATCATTATCAACGAAGGGCTTTACCTATCAGAAACGAAGAAGATAGGATTACACGGCGAGGAAGAGAGAGACCATGATAATTGTAGATTAATGGCGTGTGACAGGCAGTTTCCTTCCTTTCGATAGCTTCAATTGCGCATCGAGATTACCCGTTCGGGTAATATCCGTGCTGGACTGACCGCTGCATTCTACGAATAACTTTAGCTCGAAAAGTCTATCGAACGGAGAGTCGCAATTGCCTACACACACTACTGTTGGCTGTCATTGTTATTTTACAAAACCTTTTGACGGTGAACTGGCTGACATAACTACGACGACTGCCAGCGTAGGTAAGAAGAATCTTGACATCGGGAACAGCGAGTGGTCGAGGCTGGCCCATTGACAGAATGCGGGCGCAGTGATGGGTGGCGCCTCCGAGCCCTGGTCAATCCTGCAGCCTTGGTTGCATTGTGCTGGTTGAAGATGTGTCGCATCTCTGGAAGCTGTCGACTTGGTAGAACTGAGGAAGAAAATGAAAGAGAGAGAGAAAGAAAGAGTAGGGGTAATCATTGTAGAGAGAGCAAGAAGGACAGACGATAAACCAACCTCATTATTGATGCGCATCTCAAGTTTGCAAGTGCAAGTATAAGTGCAAGTGTAAGTGCAATGGAGCGATAAATTACCAGGTCCCAAGACCGTGCCCAACCGGAACGGTAATTTTCAGTACGGCCAGGTTTATTTTTGAACTTTCTTTTCCCAGAATGGAAGTGGAAATGGGTGGGACTGGAGTCTTTTTTGGGAAATGGGAATGGATTTTTGCCTCTCTCTCTCTCTCACTTTGCCGGTAGCCCCAGGCCCGGCCGACCACAGGTTTTGATTGAATGAATCAATGAAATGATTAAATCGGTTTAGAAATTCAGAACATGGGAAAAAGGGAAAAAAGGAAAAAAAGACGCGCCCGCCGCCTTTTTCGCTCTCCTTCCCGAAAGAAAAACTTATTCTCTTAAATTTAAAGGATATCCTCCCCCCACCCAAACTCCCGCTGTGACTTACTTTCTCCATTCTCATCCCATCATCTCCTCTCCGCCATACTTTATCATCTCTCCCTCCCCCCATCCTTCACCTTCTCTCTCTATCTTCAAAGAGCAACGTTTGATCCTTCCGCCGCTCTCGCTATAAATCGCACTACATCAATCTTTTGATTGTCCTGTTTGTGTCGTTCGACTGTGATCTGAACAATCCAAGTCCACGAGCTTTGCACCTGCAAGCTTAATCGCTAAAAAGCATCCTTTGTTTTCTATCTTTCACACACACACACACACACCCACACACATATTCACAATGGTACGCATCCCTCGAGTTGCTTTGACAACTTCCCCGGTCATTCTTTGTCCGAATGCATGCACGGCAGCGACAAGAACTGCGCGCTGACTCATACTCTCTCCCACTGCAGGCTGAATCAACCACCATCTCCAACACGGAGAATGTGCGTTCTTGTCTCATTGCTACCTTACAAGATGTTTCTTGAACCGCATTGCGGTTCTAAGGAAATCTCATACTGACTGATGCGCTGGCAACAGCTCATGAAGTACATGTCCCTCGACCAGCGGGGTAACGTCCAGGCTGAGTACATCTGGATCGATGCCACCGGTGGCACTCGTTCCAAGACCAGGGTACGCCTCCCCTTTTTTTTTCTCCTGCTTCTTCATCTTCACCATTGCAGGTGACGCAGCGTGTGGGTTGGATCGCGCGGATGCGGAGAGAATGGGTGTTATCTGGAGGGAGAGAGCGATATTGCTGCTCCCGATAAGCCCTGCGCACGGGGATCCGACCCTGCACGCCCGCCCTGCAACCCACCTGCATTAGTATCACGTGATTCATCCACCCAAATATGAAACCATGACTAATCAATCTCTTCCACCCCCCACAGACTCTGTCCAAGTCCCCCAAGTCCGTTGATGAACTCCCCGAATGGAACTTCGACGGCTCTTCCACCGGCCAGGCCCCCGGTGACAACTCCGATGTCTACCTCCGCCCCGTTGCTATCTACCCCGACCCCTTCCGTCTCGGTGACAACATCCTCGTTCTGTGCGAGACCTGGGACTCCGATGGAACCCCCAACAAGTTCAACCACCGCCACGAGGCTGCCCGTCTGATGGAGGCCAACGCCAAGGAGGAGTTCTGGTTCGGTCTGGAACAGGAGTACACCCTCCTCGGTAACGATGGCTGGCCCTACGGCTGGCCTAAGGGTGGTTTCCCCGGTGCCCAGGGCCCCTACTACTGTGGTGTCGGTACCGGCAAGGTCTACTGCCGTGACATCGTCGAGGCTCACTACCGTGCTTGCTTGTACGCTGGTATCAAGATCTCCGGTATTAACGCCGAGGTCATGCCTTCCCAATGGGAGTACCAGGTCGGCCCTTGCCAGGGTATTGACAGTGAGTATCCCGTTTGATCGCCGTCTCGATCATCACATACTAATCTCTCTCACAGTGGGTGACGAGCTCTGGATGTCCCGCTTCCTCCTCCACCGTGTCGCTGAAGAGTTCGGCGTCAGAATCTCCTTCGAGCCCAAGCCCATCAAGGGTGAATGGAACGGCGCCGGTCTCCACACCAACGTCTCCACCGCCTCCACTCGTGCTGACGGAGGCATGAAGGCTATCGAGTCCTACATGAAGAAGCTCGAGGCCCGCCACGTTGAGCACATTGCCGTTTACGGTGAGGGTAACGAGGAGCGTCTGACTGGTCGTCACGAGACCGGCAGCATCGACAAGTTCAGCTACGGTGTTGCTGACCGTGGTGGCTCCATCCGTATCCCCCGCCAGGTCGCCAAGGACGGCAAGGGTTACTTCGAAGACCGCCGTCCCGCCAGTAACGCCTGCCCCTACCAAATCACTGGTATCATCGTGGAGACCCTTTGCGGTGGCAACTAAGTGCGTCTAGCACATTTACTCCAAATGTGAAAAACATTTCATCTTAGCGCTCGTATACCCTCCGGCGTCGACATGGAGTCAGATTGCGATGCAGCCTGGTCATGGGAGAGCAAACTATAGAATTTCGCTTCTTTCTTTCTCTCTTCATGATGGTACTTCGGAGTTTCTCTCGAACACTCTCTCGTGTGCCAGCGCCTGTTGATGCATTCGTTGTCCTGTTGCTGGTCTTGCATGTTTCTTTCTTACCTTGGGTTATGTGTTACGTATGGCATAGAGGACTGGTACTCGGAGGAGAACCGACGACGGTCTTTTGAAATTGAAACTGGGGATGAAACTGGAAGGATCAAATAGCTTCAAAGGCCGGAACCACGGTCAGTATTATAGTGTTCAAATAATCAATCGTTACGAATAAGCACATCCTCAGGATGTGAACATGTCAAGTCTTGCTTCTTTACCACTGCGCCTGATTGCGTCTCAACCAGATCGACTGTTCATCAAGTTCAACGTCAACATTTGCAATATGATACTAGAAATTAGATTACAATGATTTATAAACTCCCTGAACAGTCACATCTTCTTGGCGATTCATGCGATTCCCGTCCAGTCATACCACGTGATTACCATACCATGCTCGATGTTTAAACATCTCTTTTTTTGGGGCTCAAGGCCCATGCACCGGTCCTCAACATCATCGTCCGCATCATCAACCACCCCGCTTGAAGACCTTGAACAACCCGGCCCCCAAGCCATCCAGCCCCCGCTGCCGCGCCTCGCGCCTGGCCGCCCCATCCGCGGCCACCGCAGCCCCACCTTCCTTATCCGCAGTCTTCTTCCCATCCACGACGCGCAGCAGCACCTCCATGGTGACGGCGGCCAGAATGCTGGCGCACAGGATCCCGACCATGACGAGGTTGCTCTTGCGGTACTTGGCGCGGCCGGGGGCCTCGTAGTCGCTCTTCCAGCCCGAGTACAGGGCGTAGGTGGTCATGATACTGCCGAGGTTGCCGAGGCCGGAGACGACGGCGGAGGCGGCGGCGACGCCGACCTCGCCGTGGCGCGGCTGGAAGATCTCGGTCGTCCAGGTCATGGTGATGGGGACGGTGGGGCCCAGGCCGAAGCCCACGATCAGGAGGCCGCCGTAGCGCGGCCAGGAGTTGGTGGCCGTGCCGGCGTAGGTGGTCAGGAGCAGGCCCAGGATCTGCAGGAGGACCGGCACGGAGAAGAAGAGGGAGCGGTGGCGGTGGAAGCGGTCGCTGATCGGGGTGACGAGGAGGATGGCGATTAGGTCCATCTTTTTATTTTTGGTGTGGGGGGTTAGTTTTGGGTGTGCTGGGGGGTTTGGGGGCAGGGGGCAGGGGGCAGGGGAACGTACAATCCAGATCGGGGCCGTCAGGAGACTGAGATCGATCCCGTTCAGCGACGGGTTGATGCTCTGGATGATGACGGTGGCGTAACTCTGCGTGCCGATGCCCACGCCCACGACGCCAAAGTACATGATCAGCAGCGGCCACAGGCGCCAGTCCAGGAACACGTTCAGCAGGTCCTTCCACGTCCACTGCGCGCGGTGGTACACGCGCTTGAGGTCGTGGTAGTGGATCTCCGCGTCGCGGCCGGTCAACGCCGGCGGGCTGCGGGGGAACCACCACAGGTACTTGCGCGTCTTGGGCTCCGCGCCCGGCGCGAGCGGCCGGTCGGGCAGCCACCACAGGAGCAGGAAGCCGACGGCGGTCGTGATCACCCCGTAGACCAGGAACATCCACTGGAACCCGACCAGGCCGCGCTCGCCGTCCATCTTCTGGAAGCCGGCCGAGACCAGACCGACGACTGCGGCGGAGACCTGCGCGGCCGTGTAGTACTGGCCGATGCGTTTGCCGGTGCGCGAGGGAGGGTAGAACAGGGTGAGGTAGTAGGTCATACCGGGCCACATGCCCGCGATGACAATACCCAAGAGCAGACGGAGGAGGCTGATTCAAGGAAAGTGGTTAGCATGACTGCTGAGGGCAGGCAAAGAGAGGGGCATAAAACATACTATAAACTCCAGGCGGCTTTCATAGCCGTCATGCAGCTCCCGATAATTCCCACGCTAATGACAATCCGACTCATCCAGACGTGGGGACTCAGACGAGTCATGATCAGGTTGGAGGGCAAGTCGAAGATCACATAGCAGACATAGAACAGGGCGAGAGCGGTGGAGATCTGGTGTGGCGTCATGTTCAGCACCGAGCCCAGGTCATGACCCGAGCTCTCGTTCATGGTTTGCGCGAGGCCGACATTGGAGCGCACCGCGGCGCAGAGGAAGTAGAGCACCCAGAATGCGGGAATGATGCGGAAGTCTAGCTTTCTGCAGGGGTTCGATTAAAGTTAGCATGTCATGTCATGTTATGTCAGACGATGCAGGATAGCAAACACACTAGTACAACTAGTACAACTAGTTCGACTAGCAACCAACTGTTCAACTCACCTATAGATGCGCTCGATCTCGGCAAGGTCGGCCTCAGACTCGGGCTCACTGCCCGTCTCCAGGTCATTTGCACCCTCCCGACTGTCGAGCGACCGTTCGTGAATGCTCTCTGTGTTGGGTTGCTTGGTCACCCCGTGAGGGTGATCGGGGTTGGACTCTGCGAGGGACATCTTGGCGGAGGGGCCAGTAGGGGCGGTGATCCTTGTTGAGGTCCCAGGAATCGAAGCAGTGGTGGCGCGCGGTCGATGCCACGAGTAAGGATGCTTACTCTAGACTGCACGTGCAGGTATAAGATTGTTTGTCGGTGGTAGAAGTGATAGAGAGTTCACGGAAGAAAGAGAAGGTGGTTTGGCCACGAGGGGGAAACGAGCTGGGAACCCCGCACTTTTTATTCTCGGCGTTGGGGGGGGAGGAGAAGATGGCAGTGATCAGCCCTGGAATGGAGTTCGGAGATGGTCAGTCTTGGTCTGTTCTGCAGGCTACTGTGATTGATTGGGTTTGGCAAAGGAGGGGAGGGGAAAGATGCAGCTCGAGCACGAATAAACTTGCGATAACGTACCTGCAGTGCGACGGTCATGATGGCTAGCTCTAGAATTGACGACGAAAAGAGGCGAGGCAAACGCTATTAAGCAAGGGGAGAGGAGACAGGGGAAGATGAGAACCTGCAGGAAATGCCGAAAAGAAAAGCTTGGTGAAAGCCGAGGAAAAAGCAAAAAGCGCAGACGAAAAGTCAATGGAATGGAATTTGCATGCGACTCCGTAACAGTAACTTATCATTGATTGATTGATTGATCGATAAAAGCGTAAAAGTAACAAGAGAAGGACCCGCCGGAGGAACCATTGGCCCGGTCGGTTCCAGACCCTTTTCGACACCCCGAGTAGGTCTGACAGACAGACAAATCGATGTGACTATCTATGACCATCTATGCCCATTCTGCTCAAGGAATGACAGGAAAAAAGAAGCAAAACCAGGCCATTCAAAAGCAACTCTATTCTCCGGAAGAAAACATTGCCTGTTTTCTTCCTTTAGCCCTCGGGCGGGTAGAAACGGGGCTGTTCTTCTTCCTCTTCCTCTTCCTCAACTACTCCGGAACTTCTTAGTTCAACGTTAATTCAACCTCAGTGACTCACTCTGTCTGCCTGCAGAAACATCCGATACCGGAAGTAAATCAGCCGTGGATGAAGAGAATAGGGATCTTCATCCATCTCATCATCGACAACTTGCACGGCGACAATCGGTGACTCAATCTATCAGACCGGTGAACCTCCCCCCCCCCTCTTTCTTGTTGCCATCAGCCATGGCGGTTCCTACTTGTTGAGTGCGACAGACGCGATCGAGGCCCACCGCGCATGTCCCAACACCCGTCCCCACTGCTTCCATGTCTCAACTGCCGGACAAGGAACGTTCTTTGAAATGGGATATTGCGCCAACCTCTTACGCTCAACAAAATTGGGATTCAGTGATGAGACTTGGCTCGGCAAGCTTATGGCCTCGTGTAGTTGACTACTCTGCTTTGCAGCCGGGACCTTCCCAGGATCAGTGACATCCTCGCCACATGCAAGTCTTCGATGCATCTATGCAGTCGGCGCATCAATCACAGAGACAGTTGTTAAATAATGCCTATTGAAGAACACTGAGAAGGAACGGAACAACGGGCAGGGGTGATTGGCAGTCTACACTCTCTATCACTTGTTCTTCACAGTACCTGGTTGATAAAACTGCCATCCGTGAAGTTAGAGCGTAGGAGTGGTCACCGTCGTTACTCACAAAATGTAAACCCCGGTTTGGGGAGGATCAGCAAGCCTTGAAGCCTTGACAGGTGCCAGTGCTGGGTTCAATTCCTGTTTGCTGGCATCCACTATACATCAAGATTGGCTTGTATATAGCGCAGGCTTGCATGACTGGCCACTGGAAAGAGTATGTATGCTGTCCGACTGGAGACTGGCAACCTTGTTAATGAGGACTCGCCGCAGCGACGAGTAACATGATCTGGTCGCTACGCAAGCAGTGAAAATCTAGACGGTTCTCTGCATGGTTTGACGGTTCTCAAAAGCTTAGTATAGAATATTGCATAAGACGGTTGCATATGAAATGTGGCAGTCATCCTGGTATGAAGGGCCATGTCAAGGTACCCGCTGCGCTCACTAGGATACAGGAATTGGCCAATGCCACTCTGCGTCAGGCTCTAGTCTGGCGGGATTTGCACCCGGTCTGGACCGTGAAGTAGATCGGGGAAGAGCCCGAGGTCTCGACAGGCCGATCAGGATCGCGGTCAGCACATAAATCACCCAGATGCCGGGCAATATGCAAGGGCGCCTGGATAGTACATCACACACGCGCTGCCTGGTAAGGAAGAGGAACTACAACATTTACAGGACACCAATCATCTGGCAAGGGACAAGACCCAGCCCTTCTTCATTCGAGCACCACGTCTAATCGTATAGCATCGTCCATCAGGGGTATAATCAGTAATCGTCAATCGGGCGCCAAGGCCCCAACGCAGAAGAAAGTAAATCAAGTCGTGCAGTCGTCAAGGCG